GGTGACCCTGACGTGATGAAGATGAAGATAAAGGAGTTTTATTTTTCGAAGATTTAAGAAAAATTGATTTTGACGCAGCACCATAATCACTGGTCTTCAGTGACGACCTATAAGGTATGTCCAGTCCAATCCATCATAGTTAACGCACTTACTATCTGGATCAGACTTCCGAGGTTACTCATTTGGTATACCCAGACCTCAGTGTTTATTGCTGACAGAAAAAATAATTTGGAGCCTGAACTTTTCATTGGAATGCAATTCAACCTCTCTTTCTCTGTTAACTCAACAAATCGTCTTATAATGCTACCTCCTATTATCGGTGACAACGGCGAATCAAAACAAAATTTGACATAATTTATTGGATTCCACAATTCTGGACTCTTATGTCAAAGAAACCAATGATCCTGATTTGGATAAAGAGCCAACTTCTTTCTCTGATCGGAACTCATCAGATACGAATGCAACGCTTGCAGAAATGGAAACTGTACCCATAAATTATGCATTCTAAACATTAAGTTATTCTGATATAACTAATACCCATTAGATCGAGAACATTATGCAGAATATGGAGTTGATGGCAGGTCGAATCACCACATACGGTGGATCTGCTGACGAAACATGGAAATTTGTAATTGACCAGTATTACAACACTGGTCTGCTATAATCTGCTTTCCCACCACATTTTTATAACGTGTTTCCCTGTATTTTTTTTTAAACTGTGAGATCAACACTGGGCAGGGAGTGTGTGGCGATATCAAGCAGGCTGGTTTTGATTTGTAAAAAACGATCGGACATGTCATGTATATTTTTGATATCGAAATATTTTTACAGTTAATAAATTTATATTTTTTTATTATGTTGGGAGTTTCTAATTAAATATATTATCATAATCATTACTACTCCCACAATAGGTTATCTATCGTATTATTAGGTTAAGTCTTATAAAGTATTGTAATAAATCTTGAGTACTTTTATATCATAATAAATACTTGTAAGTATTAATGAATACAAATAATACCAGAATAAATATAATTAATATTATTAAAGAATATAAATTATGTACTCAATAATTCCCTCATACTTGTACAATTTAATGTATAGACTAGCTGTGTATAATAGAGTTAATTATATAAAAAGTCAATATATTAGATTTGTGAGTTCTTATCGAAATATATCAATTTTTTTGAACCGGTTTATGAACCGGATTTTAAATTTTAGCGTTCCGGCAAAAAAAATATTAGCACAACACCACTGCTTAAGGGGCACAACTAGTGTAACCGCCTAAAAAAAGGTGATTTTTGGGGTTTATATTAAAAACACTACTGTATCAATCATTTCAAAATTTTAGGAATATATTTGTACATGTTTTAAGAATACATAATAATAAGTTATCATCGATCTCCAACGGCGCGACAAAAAAAAGCTCTTCACTGATGCAGTGATTCCGGCCCTCTACGTGGATGAAATTTAAAAAAAAAAATCTCGGTAAACCAGATAATATTGTCTGTAAAATAAACTACGATAAAGAAAAAAAATCAAAAATTGACATAATGACGGCGTTTTTTTAAAAAAAGTCGAATTTTACCCAAAATTTTGGTGGTTTTTGGATCCGATAAAAAAATCGATAGTTCATTTTACGGAGAACTATATATAGAACATGTCAAAAAAAATTGAGTAGTGATCGGAAAATGCTGTTTCGAGAACAACGCGTTTAAAGATTAAATGATCGTTATACTATACGAGTATACTATGTATATACTCTTTAAATGGCTGTAACTCAAAAACTATTTAAGATATCAATTTAAAATTTTGATATGTTATTTTTAAAGGTATAACCTATCAAAATATGGAAAAACTGAAAATTCGCTTTTTTTAACTTCCCGTAGGGCAAGTTATAGTAATGGCAAAAAATCGAAAATGAAAATTTCTGAATATTTTGGCATACCTTAGAAAAAATGGATGTATGTGTGTGTGTGTGTGTGTGTGTGTGTGTGCGTGTGTGTATGTATGTGCGGATACAAATTTTCGTCGACGATTTCGGGAACACCGATCAACCGATTTGAATAATTCAAAAAACATTCGATTCGTATTGATAAGGAGACGTGCTGATTAGTTTTTGGCGTAGTCAGGTCCAGCCGTTCCGAAGATACGGCGCAAAAAGTGCCGAAAACGGTAACTCAGTTTTTAAGAGAACGGAGCGTCCGATTTTGATAATTCAAAAAACATTTTACTTGTATTGACAAGGTGAAGAACCGATCAAATTTTCATAAAGGCAGGTCTAGCGGTTTCTGAGATCTAACAAAAAAAGTAAAAAAAATGCCACCTGACGGTCAAAAATGATCATTAGATATATGTACATCAAATTATCAGATGTTTTATAGAGATTTTAACAATAAGTATAATTTTTTTTTTACATTCTTATGGCTTTCGTACCAATGTTTATCCGTTGGACTGCGGCGCGGCGCTTACGCGCTTTGACATTTCGTTTCTATGCAGTGAAAGCAGTACGATTGCTTTGAAAAAAAGTTCAGAATTTCGAAAATATGTCAAAATGAAGAAAACATTTTTTTTTTCAAAAAAAAAAATTTAAAAAAAAATTTTTCTTTAGATTTTTTTTTTAATTTTTTTTTTCAAAAAAAAGTAATTTTTTGTCCAATTTATAGTTTCTCAAAAATCTAATTTTTTCGAAGAAAAATGTTTTTTAAAAATGTTAATCGTTTTTAAAAAAATAATAATTTTTGGTACGGGAAGTTTCAGCAATTTGCTTTAAGGCACGATGCCTTAATTGCCTTAAGACAGAATAACACTTACAGCTAGTTCCGCTTATATTCTTGTATCGTAGAACCGCTCCCCAGTGTTATATTACCGATTAACAGATGTCTGCGCGTAGCTCACCCTCGGCGAGAGCGACTATTATTATATCTGCACGCCGTGAAACATAGACCGTTCTCGGTTAGGCAACAATTTTTCGACCGTCGAGCATACTTACCTGGCGTGGGGGCTACCGTGATCACTAAGGCGGTTCCCCCAGGGCGAGGCCCTTCCATTGCACTTTTGGGTCGGGCTGACCCCTGCGATTGTCCCTAATGTGGATAACTCGGGCGCGTAATTTTTGGTAGTCGGGACTGCGTACGCGCTGTCCCGGTAATAATAAACTTAGCATAGAAAACATAAAACAAGTAATACAATATACTTGTGTTAACATTAGAATTAAAATTGGAATAGTTAGACACTTGGCCACTTTATCAACAATTTTTATTATGATGATTTATTGATAAAACTATTGGTGTATGGCATCGTGCCTTAAAGCAAATTGCTGGAACTTCCCGTATCATAATGAAATATTCGAGAATTTTTAAACCTTTTCAAATATATTATTACAAATACTGTAACTTTCATTTTTTTGCTATTTTGTTATATCTGAGCAAATCAAATGTAAATCATAAATAAATCAATTTATCTCCAGAACATAAACAATCGTCATTTCATTTCGAGTTCAATTTCAAAAAAATAATTTAGTTACCTAATTTGCACAAAATTGAAAAGTGCTCCCGTACAGTCACAGTCCAAACGCATTTGCAAATAATTCTGTGCGACATTTTCACTTATACTGTGCTTAGCTTGGCGGCATTTATAAGAACTAAAATGATTGTTGTTAAATTGAGGAGGCCACATTTTAATATGAATCTCGTTTTATATTTTTGGACCGGTTCGATTTTTATTTGTTTATAACTTCTAAACAAATTGTCCGATTGTTTTGCAATATCCAGCAAATTTTTAGCCAATTAAATTATCTACAACTTTTGTTAATAACAAAATGTTTTATCTCATATCCTTTTACCCAAAATTTGCAATGAAACAGGTTTTTGTTAAATTTTGGAGGTTGCATCAGTATATCTTGCTTCACACTTTTGGACCAGCTCGATTTTTATTTATTTATTTATAACTTCAAAACGAAATGTCCCACCATTTTGCAATATTCAGCAAATTTATAGCCAATTAAATTATCTACAATTTCTATTAACAACAAAAATTGGTATCTCTTGTCCTTTTATCAAAAATTTACATTTAAAAAGGTAGTTGCTAAATTTTGGAGGTTACATCATTTTTTTCAATTTTTTCATTAGATCTCCGAAACCGCTAGACCTGCCTCCATCAAAATTTGATCAATTCATCTTGTCAATACAAGTATAATGTTTTCTGAATTATTAAAATCGGACGCTCCGTTCTCTTAAAAACTGAGTTACCGTTTTCGGCACTTTTTGCCCCATATCTTCGGAACGGCTAGACCTACTTTCGCCAAAAGCTAACCAGCACGTCTCTTTATCAATACGAATCGAATGTTTTTTCAATTATTCAAATTGCTTCATTCGTGTTCCCGAAATCGTCGACGAAAATTTGTATCCGCACACACATACACACACACATACATTAATTTTTTCTAAGGCGTGCCAAAATATTCAGAAACTTCTGAAACGTAAAGATATATAAAAATTTTCATTTTCGATTTTTTTGCGATTACTATAACTTACCCTACGGGAAGTTAAAAGGAACATTCGGTTGTTTCGTATAGCAAAGTTTACGGGATTTTACACGTCGGCTAACAGGACTATACTCGTTATTACAGTGTGGACAGATTGTAAAAAGACGGTAACACAATTTATGTAATAAACTATTTATATTCTAAAATTGATGAAAAACTAGTGGGGCGTATGGCATCGTGCCTTAAGGCAAATTGCTGGAACTTCCCGTACCGCAACGAAATATTCGAGGAATACTGAATGTTTTCAAATAGATTATTATTAATATTGTAACATTGTTTAATATTTATGAGAATTATATAAACTGAATTACAAAGTTGAAATTATTTGTTCAAAGTATATTAGAACTATAGTCAGAATTAAAAATAAAATCTGAATTATTTTCGTTATTGATTAAATCGAGCATTATTTAACTAGCTTTAACGCTAAATACCTCTTACACCTTACATTTATTTACAGGATTTACCGTACGTTTTGCGAGCTTTGGGAATAATTATCAGCGAAGAGGAAACTGAAGCAATCATCCAGCAATGTCTGAACCTGGTAGATGTCTCCACGGTGCAAGACGATGAGGATGATGATAGGTAAGTAAATAAATATATTATATATATATATATATATATATATATATATATCTTATATATAAAAATATATCTTATATATAAAAATGGAGCTCACGATAAAATGATCCGCTAAAACTCGAAAACGGCTGAACCGATTTGGCCAGTCTTAGTCTTGAAAAATTCGTGCCAATCAGTAGGTTGTCGGAAAGGTGAGATATTGTTTCAAAATCGCGTAGAAACTTTACATTTTTAATTTGAACATTTTTGTAGAAGTGTAATTTGATTAAAACAGTGGACGGTGGCTAATACGTCAAATGTCAAACGTTTTTGACAGATGATGTTCAATTACATTTAATACAATGTTTTACGTGAATTTTATTTAATTATGATTAAATTGTAGTAAGCAGTTTTGTTTGTAGTTATATTTATACACAAAAACGTTAGTAAACGGGCCGCAAGTGTTACTAGAGACTCAAAATATCAACTTTTTTGGAATGTTAATATGAAAATGCACCTTTTGGCATATTTTTCTCAAACACGGTACTTGGAAAGATCTCATTTGTATAATTATATACTCATTGGTATTTAAAAAACATTTTCAAGTTTATATTATTTTTTATTTATGTTATTTAAATTCAGAACCTAAATTTGGTATCGATCAAAGGGACATTTTGTTGAATAACATTTTTCCAGTTTTAATTTCCCAGAATTTATCGAAAAATAGATAGTAATATATGAAGGTCGGGGGTTAAAAACCAGTAAAGTTAAGCATTGTTTAACAACAATATTTGAAAGTAGAGGGAAAAAGATGTATAACCAGCTATAATCTTGATTCTCATGACTTTGCTATCGGGAGATAAACGGTAATCTTTGAAAATCTATAATAAAAGTATTTTCTTCCGTTGGTAGTTTTTTGGCATTAGTTAAATTCTCTCTTAAATTCGCCTATTCTACTTATGTCCTCTAACTTTAACTTAATTAATAATGAAATAGATATTCACAACACTTCACCTAATCAAATAATCTCCATCTGCACAAGTTAACCTTTTTATTTTCTTTTCAAATATATCATTATTTTATCTTATTTTGCTTATAAATAATATTGTTACATTCTGCATTATATGTAATTATATCTTAAGCATTTTATGTTACTAACTATATATTGTAATTTTGTATATATTTTAATTGTTATTCATTATGTAAAATAACTGTATTTTTGAGTCCTCTTGGAGAAATCTGTGGGCTATATATTTAAATATCGATCCTTCTCACGCCGTCAATTAATATATAACTGTAATAAATGTAGCTGAATGTACTTTGTATAGCTTGCTATGAATAATAAATCAAATATATATATATATATATATATTTAAATAAATAAATAAATAAATAAAAGTGTAATTATTGTGTAAAATACCTTTAAAATTAAAATAAGAACGTTAAGCTTTAAATTTTGCTTTAATTATTACTTTGAAACTTTTACTTGAAACTTTTAAAAAAGCAGGTCAAAGAATAAATACTTAATTCGTTTTCTATCTCTCCTTGCAGAAATTTGAAATTTTTGTATAAGTTCAGTAGTATTATTCACAATTATACACAAAATCCGAATCTGAAAAACTTGAAACGTAATCAATAAGTCGAAAGACCAAAAAAGACTTGGATTGGATTATACCATGTTTTCTATAGAAAGTGTATAAATCTTCCAATTTGCTTATGCTGAAAAAATATAGACAAACTAATGGGATTTATTTGTTTTTATAGAACTTCATTGTATGTAGCATTCAGACAACACATCCTTGTACACTTGAAGTATTAATATTTTTGATTCTCTAGAAATTGTTTAGAATATACCTTACTTAGCAAAACAACGTTTGCCGGTTCAGCTAGTATATATATATATATATATATATATATATATATATATATATATATATATTTCTATTACCCCAGGCCTCCAATTGTGACCCTCGATCAGCTCAACAAGGTCCTAAGGGGCAGAATGCCGGATGCCCTGAGCCAGTCCCAAATTTTCATGGCGTTTGCGATTTTTGACCCATTGGGCAATGGTTTTATTGAAACAGAAGAATTGAAAAGATGCCTGACGACTTATGGTGATAAAATGACCAAAAAGGAGCTCAAACAGATCATCAAACTTGGGGATCCTGATAATATAGGTATATATTCGTATGAAAAAGTCGCCGAAAAATTGGCATCGTAATAAAAGAATTTTGTCGAAATGTTCGTTTTTTTTAATATAGTAATTGATATATATATATATATATATATATATATATATACATATACTAGATGACCCGACAGACGTTCTGCCAAACATATAATTTCATTTCATCTGCCAAGCATTTACTGTTGACTGTATCTTATATTATTTTAATTCCTGGCACATCTCACCTGCTTTTCGGCAATAATAACGTAGACATTACATTTTTCTCGTATATTATATTCTATTATTATTTAGGATCATAATTTCAGCAAAATTCAAATTTCAAGTGAATTGACATTTCTATAGCAATTGGCAGTTTAAATGTCAAACAATGGTAAGTGTTTTTTTTGTAATTTTTGCCATTTATTTCTAGAATATCACTATTGTTTTATCGTTCATTAAATCCTAAAAATTTCCTTTGACAAACTCTAAAAAGATTTATCAAAATCCGAATAACCGTTTAGGAGAAATATTAAAGATGTATGTAGTTTTAGTGGCAGCATCTGTCGATACGTTATAGTACTATTTCAAGCTTAGTTATGAACCTAAAAGTGTAGTTCTACGTTTTTGCATGAGTTTTTATTTGGCAAAGAGCTGTTTTAGGGCTTTTCTGTGCACTTTTTTATTATTACTTCTTAATATTATTTATTGTACAATCTGCTTGTTGTTATTGAAACCAATATAAATGATTTATTTTAGTTTTCTTGTAGTTATAATGCTAGAAATTAAAAAAAAAGGTTTTTTTTTGTTTCATATTTTCAAAGTTTAACTATGTATTTAAGAATATGTGTACGAAGGGATTTTTAGATATTCAAATTAGTTTTGGATATACAGCTGTTTGGCCCATGATAAGACACTTTTTTTCGCAGAACTTTAAACGCTGTTTTCTCAAAACTCTCAAAATTCTCCAGATTTTCTGGGAAATTATGGAAAATCTTTTTTATAGACTTTTCTCCAATATATACTAGCCTCAACCCTAAATTTCAATTTTTACTATTTTCAAAAATTTGAAAAAACTCAAAAAAGGGGTAATAAATTGATATCTGTTTCCTTTTTTGTTTTCATTTTGTCAACAAATTAATTTTTAACTTAATCCTAGTATATACCATTACGATATCATTCTAGATTCATAATTTTTATTATGTTTTCATTTCGGATAACTATAAGGGTTGCAATTGTGACCACGTGTCAACTTTTTGAGACCTTCCACTTCAACCACTGCTAATTTTTTAAATTATTAACTTTTTTGTTCTAATTTTTTCTGTACTCTTTTAACATATATGAAGAAATTATAAAAAAGATGATAGTATATAAATCAATATCCTTTTATTTAGACGCATTCAAATATTTTTCGTTTTTTTTTTTTGCTAATTTTTTAACACTTCAATGGCAAAGTAGCTATAAGTGTACTTATAGCTTGAGTAGCACCTTATAGCGTCAAGTAGCTTGAAGCGTTAAAAAATCAGCAAAAAAACAGAAAAATATTTGAATTATTTTATTTCTAGATCTTATTCGCTTAATTTAACATTGAAAATATTAATTATTAAAGGGAATGTGGTCAAGTTCGAAGTGCTTTCATATATGGAGAGATTTGATACTACGGCGAGAGCAGCAAAGATTTTGAGGCGGCCGTACTCTCAAACTATCAATGTTACAAAAAAACGGTGTTTTAAAGAATTGTAGGAAATTTTCTCTAGTTTAATTCGTACATAGATACTTTTATAGTAGATTGAGCCAGAAAGGAGATATTTTAAAAGAGCTGTTTTTTGACGCCATTTTTTCAATATGGCGGCAACTTGCCGTTCAAATTTGAGGTGGCAAAGTTGATTTTTGTAAAGAGCACCTCGAAATCTATAAGATTACCAATTTTCAGAATTCCCGGAGTACTGTACCGCAAAACGACCAAATGACTGGACTATTATGAACTAGGCCAATAAGTGGATACTTATCTATCTATATTATTATTATTATTATTATTATTATCATTATATTTTATATATATATTAACACAAAAGTTTTGCTTAAGTACGAGGATTTTGCGATGCAAACTTTCTCATAAAATCAATTTCTACCGATTCAAATTTCGCGCCGACAATTTCAAACCTCCCACCATTTTTCTTTTTCCTAACTTCACACCTGTTCGAGCGCTCTAGCGTTCAGTCTCAGAAAACATCTCACTACATACAGACAATGACAGTTTTGTAACACAATTTACTTTTTTTATGTTAAATATTATTAACTAGGTCATTAGGTGGACGCTTATTTATTTATTTATATATATTTATATCGAAGTTTAATTTTATACGAGGATTTTGTGATAAAAAGTGATTGAAATAGTAATTAAGTGACGTGCGTGCAAGAAGGAGTACCTGTTTGCTTGTTGAGGGATTTTTTGGAAGCACCTGAAGGAAATTAAAGGTAATTAAGTAATATTGTGTGTATTGTATTTGTGCAAAAGTATATATGATGTTCAGTGTGTGTTTTTGTGCAAAATTTGTGGATAAATATCATATTTGTTGGATTAAGTGTTTTAACCTATATTTGTCAAAAAGGTTGTACAAAATTTTTATTTGTTTTCCATGAGTTTTTTTATTATGGTCAGTCTTTAATATTTTGTTGTTTAAAATTTCATTTTATTTCATACAAAAATGCATTACTAAAATACTATTATATTTTATTTTATTTATTTTATTTATTTAATTAAATTACCAAAATGCAATTATATTATTATTATTTCTATTTACTAACAATAAGTCTTTATTACTACTAAATTAAATATAAAGTAAATTATGTACAATTGAATATAAAAAAATTACCTGTACACATATGGTAATTGAATTTAATTTCATGGTAAATTTAATTTGATAGTTTCATTCTTAAAAGAATTTTGTTCTTGGAATTTTTGCCTTAAGAAATTTGGTTCTTTGAAATTTCTTCTTTTACATTTTGCTGCTTCGTATTTTATTGTTCCAAATTTTGTTTTTTGAATTTTTTTTATATTTCTAATATTTTTTTTATTAAATCTTGTTCTTTAATAATTTATCAAATTTTTGCTTTTTAAATATTGATTCTTCAAAATCATGATATTTAAAAAAAATTGTTTTTAGAATTTCTTTTTTTTTTAATTTATTCTCTAAAATTTTGTCCTCTAAATTTTTTTTTAAATTTTACTATTAAATTTTGTTTGGTATTTTATTGTTCTAAATTTTGTCCTTTCTCTTAAAATTTGTTCTTTGAAATTTTTTGATGTTTCAAATTTTATTCTTTGATATGATGTTTTAAATTTAAAAGAATAAAGAGGGAAAAAATCAGAGAATTAAATTTTAAAAAATAAAGAGAATAAAATTTCAGAGAACAAAATATAAATAAAAAAGAATTTAAAAGATCATCAAAGGAATAAAACTAGAAAAACCAAATTTAAAAAAGTGAAATTTTGTTGTTTTAAATTTTGTTCCTCGAAATTCTGTTTTTATACATCATATTTCATCTATTGTATTTTTAATTTTATTTTAAATATTTTTAATTTTTTTGTATTTTCATTGTTTTAAAATTTGTTCTTTGAAATTTCATTGTGTAACACTAGGCTTCACTCATTGGAGTGAACTCTAGTTAATTATTTCATTTTTTTTTTCCTTTAATATAATAATAATAATTATTATTATTATTTATTTGCTCATTTATTTATTCATTATTATTATTATCATTTTTTATTATATTTTATCCCCTTTGTGTCACAATAGCTTATAAGATAAATTGTATCTTGATAGCTATAAATAAATAAATGTATATAAAAAATGTCATTGTGTAAAGTTTTTCAAATTTAATTTTCTTAAGTTTTGTTCTGTGAAATTTTGTTTTTGAAAATTAAGTTTATTCTCTGTAATTTTGTTCTTTGAAGCTCTGCTGTATATTTTTATTTTTTGTAATCTGATTCTTTGCATTGTTTAAATTTGTTTTTTTTTTAATATTTTATTTTTTGAAATTCCATTCTTCTAAATGTTCTTGCTCGATAATTTGTTCTTAAGTTGTGTTTTTTAATATTTTGCATTGTGTTATTTTATTCTTTGATATTTTCTTCTTTGAAATGCAATATTTTAAAATTTTATAATCCGAAAATTTATTTTTTTAAATTTTATTTCTTTATATTTTTTTTAATTTCATTCTTTAAAATTCTTTAAATTTTCATTTTGAACTTTGAAACTTAGTTTTGGGAAATTTTGTATTTATATTTTATATTATGGTTAATATAGTTTATACTTATTATATTTTATATGTTTGTTAATAAATTTTATTCAGAAATTTTCAAATTTAATTTTTTAAAAAAATATTCTTCGAATTTTGACAAAAACATTTTTGTTTTAATTTATTCTTTGAAATGTTTGTTATGTTAAACTTTGTTTTGGAAATTTTGATTTTATTAAATTTTGTTCTTTGAAATTCAATTTGTTCTATGTCGCCTTTGCATTAAAATTTGTTAAAATTTTATTATTTTAACACAACAATCGAATTTATATATATTTTACAAAATACTCGTTTCGTCCTTTTCGACCTTGTTCACAACCCTAAAGTACTAAAAATCGTCCCTTCTGACAATTCCCCTTATTTCTTGCACAACAGGTGTTGCACAGGTAAAAATTCATACCTGACATGCTTGAATAAATAATAAATATGTACACTTGTAAATGTATGTTCTTTTAAAAATATCATTCTTTCAAATTTCGTCATCATCTTCAAATCTATTTTTGTAATTTCCAAAAAAAATAGTTTTAATCACTCTTAGGAAACCAGACGCATTCATTAACCTAAATTTCGTGTCATCGAGAATAAAACAGTAAAACAGTTAAACATAAGAAACAGACTTTCTTAAAATAACTTTATGTGTTCTGGATAAAATCGAATTTTTATAGTAAAATTAGAAGTATACTAAGTTGATGTCAGGTATTTAATTTTGTCCGAAATGCTGTATTTATTTTAAACAAATTGTTTAAACTTGCAAGATATTTAATAAGTGAATTCAAAGAAATCCAAAGAATTTACAAGTCGATTAGCTAAATGAATTATTTATTAACTTCCCGAAGGAGAAGTTTATGTTTCAATCAAAAAATCCGATTCGCTAATTTTATGTTTTCTCGACGTTTCAAGCCATTCTGAATCGAATGAGACCAAATTTGGAAAAAGTATGTATGTGTGTATGTGTGAACAGATTTTTTGCCGTAAATCGACGTTTTCTCCAAAACGGCTGGACCGATTTCATAAATTTAAAAGCCATTCGATGTATCTCAATGAGGACTATTGTTTATCAATTTTGCGCGACAATCAGCCAAGCCGTTTCTTTATAATTAATAAAAAAAGTGTAAAACATTTCGTCCATGTTTTAGCCCGCAATTTTGAGCCGTTTTTTTTAATTTAAAAACTACTCGTAAGATATTGGTTGGGAATCGTGTTGATTAATTTTTGATAAAGATTGGCCGAGCAGCTTCTTCGTAATCGCATATGTTAAATTTTTTTTTTTACGATTTTGTTGAAACTTTGTATGAAGCTAGATATTGCAGTATTAAATAACAGATTTATAAATTATAAAAAATCATTAAAGTTTAGAATTACACCGATTTTTGTTTGTGTCCAACTTCAATAAAATGCATTTTTAGAACCCGAAATTGATAAAGTAACACGTGTTAACAAATTAATTTAATATATTCAATTAGAGATGTGTGTTTAAAGACAACAATTTCATATCTGATCTGATCAATCTGAGTTAATTGATATCTGAATCTGAAATTATATAAATAAAAAATTATCTTTTAGCACATTTCATTTTATTCTACTTCATGTCCTAAAAAAGTATTTAATTTAAGTCCAATCTTAAACAACGTCAACGTTAATCAGTAGACACGTACAGTTGTTCAATTCGTTTCGAATCGTATTTGCTTCGAGTTGGCTTCGGATTTTTATTTTCATGGAAACGTTTTTTTGGTATGTATTTAAATTTTTCTACGTACTTGTTTCATTATGGTTATTGATCGAGCAACGTCCAAACATCTTTTGAGATCGCATTATTTTATTTCTATTTCCAAAAAAAATTTTAGAATTTTTTTAAATTTTTTTTTGAATATCGATAATAATTCCAATTGTTATTTTAATTCTGGCTAAAGTCCTAAACCTCCAATATGCTTTAAATGAATAATTTTAACTTTGCAATTCAGTTTATATATCTGTTATAAATATTAGATTTAGATTTAATATAAATATAAATATATATAAGATATTAATATAAATATAAATATTTAGTTTTATTCAAAACATTTAATATGCCTCGAATATTTCTTTACTGTGTGGGAAGTTCCAGCAATTTTCCTTAAGGCACGATGCCATACACCATTAGTTCATATTTAAATTGATTAACAAATTAGGGACATTATGCTCTCTTATTAATTTTCTGAAATGTTTCTGGTGTTCATAAATAGATTTGCATGACTTTAATTAATTAATGGTCGTTTGTCATTTATAAATATAAATTCGGTCATTTCCTATTTAACACTCACATACATATATATATATATATATATATATATAATTATTTTTCCTTTTCCAGATTACGCTGCTGAATATGTGATACGAAAAAAAGTGCTAAATACAAAGTGTTGTTATTAAAAAAGTGCAAATAGTTTTTAACAAATATATATTTATTTTAGTTAAATAAGATCTGTCTTAACTTTATCTGATATGTTATAAATAATTAAGTGTGTGTGTATGTTTGAAAATATATAAATGTGCAAGTAATTCCCAAGAAATGTGTTTCTTGGTTGTGAAATCTTCGTGAAGAATAAATAATAGAAAAAGATCACATGCAGAAATCGAAAGAGGAACTATTCATTAGGCCGACTTATGAATGGTGAGTAGATATTATATAATTATAATTATATATATATATATATATATATATATATATGTGTGTGTATACTAGATGACCCGACAGACGTTGTCCTGTACCCACGTCTACAATTCAAAAGTTCCTGTTTTTTTAATATCCTATCCTATACTTTTTAATATCCAATTTGATGTCCTGCCTTTGTGATTCATTTATGCTCTTAGCATAAGCAATATAAAAAATTCTGAGAAAAAAATAATATAGTATCTGCGGTAAAAGAACAATATCACAGTTGATTTTACCACACAACATGATTGCTTCAATAGTTTAGTCTATAATTTTGATAATCTCGTACCATAAACTAGTTGCTTTTTGGCAATTATAATTTCCAAAGTTCTTACTAATAATTTAATAAACATTATTGTTTATGTTCAAATCTTTGGTGAATTAATTTGTAAAATCTAGTTCATATGTGCTCTATGCAATCTACGATCAACTAACTAAATATTCCATATGCGATGCCAAACAAATGAATTTTTGATGCATGAAACAAAATTCTAAATATTTTTTTAATGAGTAGAAATATTTTTTGTATTGTTAAATGATTTAGTAAAGTAAAGCAAAATGAGGCATGCATAAGTTTAAAAAAAATATCTGCCAAACATCATATACTGTTGACTGTATCTTATATTATTTTAATTTCTGGCACATCTCAGCTGATTTCGGCAATAATAATGTAGACATTACATTTTTCTTGTATATTATATTCTAATATTATCTAGACTCATAATGTCAGCTAAATTCAAATTTTAAGTGAATCGACATTTCTAGCAGATGACACATCAAATGTCAAACAATGATAAGTGTTTTTTTGTGTAATTTTTGCCATTTATTTCTACGATATTACTACAGTTTTAACGTTCATTAAATCTTAAACATTTTCTTTGACAAACTCCAAAAAGATTTATCAAAATCCGAATAATCGTTTTGGAGAAGTAGTAAATTATACACCCGTACAGAAGAATTTTATATATAAGATTATATTTCTATCCTTTTATCATCTAAAATTTTCTATTATAACTTTTCCATATATAACTGCAATCGACATTTTAGTATGTTACTCATTTATTTTTTAATTCTGGATTTAGTAAGCTTATTAATGGAGTAGTTAGTTATTTTACTCGTTAGTAAAGTTCTTTTACTTTAGAGTTAGAATCATGTCTCTGTTAGGTGCAGAACTTATTTTCCAAGTCAAGAATTCTTTTTTTTTTATTTTCTATGTAATCTGCTTGGTAGTCAAATCTTTTTCTTCCAAGAATGATCAGAATGTTTAAATATATATATAAAGTTTATTATTTTACATAATGATTCAGTATTCGATATTAGTCATTTGAATTTTTTATTATTTAAATTAGTCATATGAACAAAAAGAATAAAGATAGTTGTAACAATAGACAGTTATCACGCCCATATTTCACGAGAGTGAACTTTCTGAATCTGTGTCGCGTTTTTTTCTGTTTTGACGCCCACAAATGTCTGGTCGTGAATTTTTTTTTGATAGTTTTTAATAGTCCAAAATAGATAAATAGTCCAGTCATATAGTAAGTTCACCTCGGAATTCGAGATACCCAGCTGTAAGTCTGTAAACACTGTATATTGACACCCTAAAAGTTGTCTCAAAACCTACATAAGGTAGGGTGTATTAGATGTATTAGATGTATCAGATATACAATTCACAATTTTACCATTAACTAACAAAACAACCAATTCCAATATATAAAAAACAAATGAAGGAATGCTAAAATAAATAATTTTGTGTCTTGATTTTATGAAACTTAATATTTTGATCTTTGCTTAGAGCATCTTCAAAAATTGAGGTCCTGTATATATGTATTGATTCGCAGAAATTTTTAAGAAGTTTAGAAGCTTTTCTGAAAAAAGAGCAGTGTACCATATGTAGGTTTTGGCACAACTTTTAGGGTGTTAATATACAAGTATTTACAGTCTTACAGCTGGGTATCTCGAATTCCGAAATTCTTACCTAATTTAAGTTTAAAAGACTGGACTAAAAATATTTGAATTGCATTGGAGAGATATTGAACTATGCTGGAACAGCAATCCCAAAATGATTGTTAATTTTTCATGAAACATACATATGGCAAACGGCACAAAAACATATTTTTTTATGTATATATATATATATATATATATATAAGGTTATTAGTTTTCAATTAAATATGATATTGGGCCATATGGCACCCATCCATCTGCGCTTCCTGCAGAAGTTATGCAAGGAAACAACTGCTCCACTTTTTCTAATGAATTTAAATTCCTTGCACCTGGTCTTCAAAATGATGAAGATGACTCGTGCCAATATATATATATATATATATATATATATATATATATATATACTAGATGACCCGGCAGACGTTGTACTGTACCCACGTTTACAATTTTTTAATATCCTGTACTAATATTTACCGTTTAGCTAAAAATAATAATTATTGTTTATTAAATTTTTCTTATTCTTTTTTATACATATTCTAATATGTATTATCTAGGCTCACAAGTGGAATGAAATTTTTGGCTGATGACAGTTTTCATTTGTTTTCAATGCCAAACAATGTCTCAAATATTTTCCATTTATTTTCACTTATTTCTACAATATTACTATATTTTTATATTAGCATACATCATAAAAAAATTCCTTAACAAACTTCAAAAAGATTTATCAGAATTCGAATAATCGTTTATGAGGAGTATATTTACATACTCATTACAGAAGATTTTTATATATATATATAAATATATAATATATATATATATATATATATATAAATAAATTTTTTAATTTATTTTTTTCTATTTTCAGTTTAGGAAAACGCCAACTCGGTTCCAATGCATTAGCCAGGTGAGTCACTTATTATTATTATTAGTTTCATTTAATTAGAACAAATTGGGTAATTGCGCTAATTGGATGACGTATTTAGAGAGCGAGATTATTCTTTTTAGAAATTTCTATTCGTCAAACTAGGTGTAAGTGGCAAGTGTAATCGATTGATTTAATATAAGAATTATTTTTCGAATTGTCACCATAAATTTTTAAAATCAAACAATTCAGAACGACTTGAAGATACATCGAGAAAAATCATCAAGTTACCTATTCAAATTTTCTGTTAAACAAATAAGAGGAATTGAAAATACTAATTTTTTTGTACTTTTAGACGACTTTTTGCTGAAAGCAGTTTGAATTTTTTAAATTCGTCAAATTCCTCCTGTTGCAATTTGGTTAACAAAATTTTTAAATTTTAATCACGCGTTTTATTTATTTTTGATTCAACTTTTATCTTACGAATTATATTTTATCTTACTCGTGTACGAGTTGCAAAATTTAAGCGAAATATTTGCATAGGAATTTCTCAATAAATGTTTTGCAACTTAAAACCGCTTATTGACGTGCAAATAATTTCGTTCGACGTAATAATAAATTAATAGTTTAAGCGAATGTTTACATATTTGCAAATACTGTAAAACCACTTTAAGATGATTTCCCAGGAACCAAAAACGCGTCTTATGCGGGATAGGAACAATATGATTCATGTACTATATAATCGTCTCATTGTTATCAGTCATATATAAAAAATGAAACATATCTTTCTATGAAGTCAAAATTTTTTTTAGGATTTTTGAAAAATTTTGTCCCTTAGTAATATCACATTTTTTTAAATAACTAATAATTCTACCAACTATATCCAAATTAAGAATAAATATAAAGAAGCCCGTGCTTTGTATCATATTGTGCGCCACTGCTCTGGAGAAATTTTGCTCTAATTATTCCAAGCGGAGCAGAATGAACAAAAATGAAATTTCCTCTTCACGATCATAAATTAATTAATATTTAATAATTGTTTATATACATATCTGCATGTATATATATATATATATATATATATATATGTGTGTGTGTGTGTGTGTGTTTTTTATAGTTTGAGAATAATCTTGAGATAAATTAATTATATGGAACCCTATTACTCTGCTAGATTTTTTACCTACATATTATTATTATGCTCGTTAAGACCTTTCAATTGATACCCCACACGACATTTTTGACGCGACAACGTTTCGACACCCTATTGTACCCATCGCAATGAACATAGTTTTTCAATCCTGCATTTGTTTACTATATCTACTGTAACTATTAAACCGTGCGTCTGATTTAAACGCAATATTTGACAAATTTGTACAAAATTAAATAATCTAAAACATTGTCTAACATCATAAAGCCCTGCAGCAACTCGGTGTTCTCTAAAATCGATGTCGAATGTTGTGATTATATTTTTGTGTAAATGGACACGTATGTTTGTTTTTTTCCGCGCACTCGAGTGACATTGAAATGCGAATTTTATTGTGCTTGCGAAAATATCACATGTTTTGTTCGATAATAATAATAATGGAGTCTTTGTGTATTTATATGTATTTATATGTATATATATATATATATATATATATAAATTATACGCCCGTGTACATTTTTCGTAGAATTTATCGACAAGAACGTCGGATCATATTGCACAAATATTTACACAAATGTTTGAAAGTAATAAATTTGGCGTTCAAGTTGCTTTTCTATATCATTATAATTATCATCAGAAGTTTATATTTTCACTAGAAAATCTGATTTGCAAATTTTGTTTTGTCGACGTTTCAAGTCATTCTGAATCGATTAAGACCACATTTGGAAAAAGTGTGTGTATGTTCATGTTTCACCTTTCGTCGTTTTCTCAAAAACGGCTGGACCGATTTCAAAAATCTAAAAGTCGTTGATCGTTAATCAGATTTTTCTGTTCCTTTTCTATTTCTTCCTCGTACGTTTCGAGAGTGAGTTTCCCCCATCATCAGGATATGTGAGTGCGTGCGTGTTTTTTATTCATACTTTTTACACATTAGCGTAGAATAAATAAATAAATTAAAGAATAATAAAATTAATATCTAGGAAAATATTCCAAGACTTTCACCTGTGTTCGCCGTCTGTTACACACTACCTTTATGCTCGTGCCCGATCGTGCGAAAAAAACGAACAAAAGAACTGTATGGAGACACCGTGTAATATATAAATATAAATATAAATATGAATTATTTTCTTAAGTCTGGATTAAGACCACCAGATAAAAAAGGCATTCGATCCCTTTCTCGGTCAGCTCGATATCAATCAGTAAGAGTAAATTCTTCGACTAAACTCGATCTATTTCTCATCGCGTGTATTCTTCCAGAAGTTACCAGAACTTCATTGGTGTTCAACGTTTTTTTTCAATTATTTTTTAAATTTTAGCATTGATAGATACGTCTCATAGGCCTATACTATTTTAAGGCGTTCATTTCGACTATCAAGAATATAACCATACAAAGTTTTTCATCAAATTTCCATGAATTTTCATATTAATATTTAAATACAGTAAAATCTAGTTAAGGCATTTTTTTACTAACCGAACCAAAAACGCGTTTTATGCGGGATGATGATAATTTGTACTGATAGAGCTATTGCAAATCTGCTTTATAAATTATAATTTTTAATTAATTAGTACTGATTTAGCCAGGGCTGGTGACGAGATAGTTCTACTCATTTTTCATATTCTCTTGATTTGTTTTTGTAATTATTTTATATCTATAATGCTAAGACGGTTGTCACGAATTAATAAAATTTATATATATATATATATATATATATATATATAAATTAATAATTTATAACTGAATCACTCAGGGCTGGGGGCGAGGGTGTCCTGTAAAATCGCTTATATGATGTTTTTTTTATTGATATTTAAATTCAGGTCGTCGAGACCTTTCAAATGATACCCCACACGACATATTTCACGTGACATCGTTTCGACACCGCATTCGATCCATCGCACTGAATATAGTTCAGCTACTGGTGCATTTAGTTACTAAATCTCTTGAAACTTTTGAACGACAAGTCAGATTTAAACAAAATATTCGACAAATTCGTGCAAAATTAAATAATCTACAACTTTCCTCAACAACAAAAGTCCGTAGATCATCTCGGTGTACTTTAAAATCGCAACACAAACCTGAAGTGTATCGAAATCAAGTGAATATTATTGTATTCTAAAGTCTGTCAATCATGTATTCGATTTAAGTTCGTCAATACCTTTCAAATGATACCCCACACGACATATTTGATGTGACGTTTTGGCACCGTATTAGACCCATCATGCTATGACTCCTTTATTTACTAAATCCCTTGTAACTTTTAAACGACAAGTCAGTTTTCAATGAAATATTCGGCAAATTTGTACTAAATTAAATAATCTACAACTTTTATTAACAACAAAAGACACCACAGCAACTCGGTGTACTTTAAAATCGCAATATAAACCTGAAGAGATACATGTTGTACCGAAATCGAGTGGTGTACAGAATCTTGTTGTATTCTAAAGAATGTCAATCATATATTTTCATTGACGTCATCGAGACCTTTCAAATGATACCCCACACGACATATTTGACGTGACGACGTTTTGGCACCGTATTAGACTCATCATACTGTGAATCATTGACTAAATCCTTTGTAACTTACAAGCGACAAGTCCAATTTGAATGAAATATTCGACAAATTTGCACAAAATTAAATAATCTACTAATATTGTCTAACATCATAACAACCCTACAACAACTCGGTATACTTCAACTTCGTCACTTGAATAAAACGAAATCATTGTACGTATGCATTCCTTATTATGATTCCGCGTCACGTTCTATTTGTTTTTAAAATCAAATTGTATAAATCAAAAGTATTTAACGAATCTTATCTTGCCCGGTAATCTTATCACGAATAATTTTTTTAAATTTATTTCAACAATTCGAAAGATAACACACTTGTTTAAGAACCGGAAAAGTATTCGAGGTAACAACAAATGTATAAATATAAATATATAAATAAACACATATATACGTGAAATATTTGTATTTCATGCATTTTATTTCCAAAGTTCTCATCAGTTAGATAAAAGCTACTTTATCTTCTTTGTCAGTTACAGGAAATAACACTTAATAATAAGTGTTGCCCCATTTTAGAAAACAAAGCAAACAGCATCTGGCAATACTGTTTAAAAGCCTATTCGACATGGTCTTTTTCTTTTAACACCTGTCGGGAAATAAATAAAAAGGGCTTTGAATGAAACATAAACACACATTAAGGACTTGTTCTAGTATACGAATTATTTCTTATCACAGACTTTATTCGTCAATTTATTATAAAATATTTTTCTAAAATTTACCATTACCATTTAAATATTTTTATTGATATAAATTACTATAGATTATTATTATAAGTAATGGCGTTATTAGCCTTTCCAAGAAGTGCTTACAAATGTTTTTGTTTATAATCTGATAGAAATATAAGATTATTATTAAGCGTACGTTTTTATAAACAATAATTCTTAATAACAACTTGCACTGGAAAAATTTACAAACTTGCTCTGATAAATCATTATTGTTTTTAAACTAAATTTAAATAGATATTGAATTGGTACTAATAAGGTTCTAACCATAAAACTGACTAGATCCCAACCTGATATAATAAACTAGTGGTGTATGGCATCGTGCCTTAAGACTAATTGCTGGAACTTCCCGAACCGCAACGAAATGTTCGAGGAATATTAAATGTTTTCAAATAGATTATCATAAATACTGTAACATTGTCTGATATTTATAAGAATTATGTAAACTTTAGCTTTAGAACTTTAGCCAGAATTAAAATTAAAGTCTAGATGATTTTTGACATACATATAAAAAATTCTGAACTCTTTGCTCCGTATCCCCGGCATGGCTGGACCAGCCTTTGCGGAAAACTAATCAGCACATCTTCCTATCAATAGAAATCGCAATTCTTGGAAACATTCAAATCGGTTGATTCATGCTCCCGAAAACGTCGACGAAAAATTGTGGAAATCCATTTGCTCGTCAGTAGAGTTTCTTTTTTCTTTAAAATATGTTCAAAATTTTTCGAAAATCAGTTTGCTCGCCAGTAGAGTCCCTTTTTCATTTCAAATTTATTCAGAAGTCTTCGGAAATCAGTTGACTCGTTAGTAGAGTTCTTTTTTGTCAATTTTTTAAGAATACTGTCGTAAATCAGTTTGATCATCAGTAGAGTTACTTTTTTCTTTCAAATTTATTCAAAAATCTTCGGAAATCAGTTTGATCATTAGTAGAGTCCCTTTTTTCTGTCAAATTTGTAAGAATACCTTCGGAAATCCGTTTGCTCATCAATAGAGTCTCTTTTTCCTTTCAAATTAATTCAAAAACTTCGGAAATCAGTTTGCTCGTTAGTAGAGTCCATTTTTTCTGTAAAATTTTTAAGAATACTGTCGGAAATCCGTTTGCTCATCAGTAGAGTTCCTTTTTCTTTCAAATTTATAAGAATACCTTCGGAAATCCGTTTGCTCGTTAGTAGAGTCCCTTTTTTGTCAAATTTATAAGAATACCTTCGGAAATCCGTTTGCTCGTCATTAGAGACCCTTTTTTCTTTCAAATTTATTCAAAAATCTTCGGAAATCAGTTTGCTTGTTAGTAGAGACTCTTTTTTGTCAAATTTTTAAGAATACTGTCGAAAATCAATTTGCTCGTCAGTAGAGTCCTTTTTTTCCTTTCAAATTATTTCAAAAATTATCAAAATTCAATTTGCTCGTTAGTAGAGTCCTTTTTTTTCTGGCAAATTTTTAAGAATACTATCGGAAATCAGTTTTATCATACTAGAGTCACTTTTTCATATTATTAGATTCTTACCATCATCTTTTCCATAATCTCAGTAGATCCATACTGGGTTTCAGAATCCTTCCATTCTTCTTGCTTGTATTTTCGAAATTAAATTTAGTTAAAAAAATTTTTTCATGGATAATTTCACTTTAGATAAATTCTCTCTAAAATTTAATTTTCACACTTTTCACGTTGTTTTCTTTTTCGAAGTCATTACTTAAGATTTAACTTAAAATTAATAACTTAAGTTTTCGTAATTAATTCCCTTTTATTAGGAACGTAAGAGTCCGCGTTTGTCGTCGGCAATGTTCGCTCAGACATGTGACGTCACATACCTTTCTATTTTTAAGCACTATATACAACGGAAAACATATGAGAACTAGCAGTCCATGTAGTGCAAGGGTTACGTCCTTGATGCATTTTTTATTTCTTTTTTGAATTTTGCTTCATTGATATCATCTAAAATAAAATTACTATATCCTTTCTAGTCAGCTCTACCGCTCGTCCAGTTTCAACTCGTCTGGACGGAGTTCCATGGTCGACCAGGTCGACTCTGAGATGATGTACAACGACGCCTCGCTCGAAGACAACGTGTTGGACCTGAACCACCAGGTAAGAAAATAATTGACATAGGTTATTAAGCTTTCGAGAGACTTGTATTTAAAAACTTGATCTATTTCCAGGTGCAGGTTTTGGAGCAGAAAGTATCGTACCTGGCCGATTCTCAAGTCGACTCCGATGACAGGTACAGCAGGGTGAGGGCTGACAATGCGGTGCTGCAGGCGAGGATACTTATGCTGGAGGAGCAACTCAGAGAGGTAAGGACAAAATTTTCTGCCTTATGTAGCAGAATGCCTATTTGATGGGATAATACTAATCGGAAATCAGATCGATAGTCAGTAGAGTCCTTTTTTCTTTTCAAATTTGCTGAAAAATCTTTCAGAAATCAGTTTGCTCATCAGTAGAGTTTTTTTTTCATTTAAAATTTATAAAAATAATTTCAGAAATCAGTTTGCTTGTCAGTAGAGTCTCTTTTTACTTTGGGAATCAGTTTGCTAGTCAGTAGAGTCCTTTTTTTCTTCAAAATTTGCTGAAAATCTTTCAGAAATCAGTTTGCTCGTCAGTAGAGTCCTTTTTACATTTAAAATTTATGAAAATATTTTCAGAAATCAGTTTGCTCGTCAGTAGAGTCTCTATTTACTTCGGAAATCAGTTTGCTAGTTAGTAGAGTCCTTTTTTCATTTAAAATTTGCTGAAAAATCTTTCAGAAATCAGTTTGCTCGTCTGTAGAGTCCTTTTTACCTTTCAAATTTATAAACATAATTTCCAGAAATCAGTTTGCTCGTCAGTAAGAGTCTCTTTTTACTTCGGAAATCAGTTTGCTAGTCAGTAGAGTCCTTTTTTCCTTTCAAATTTGCTGAAAAATCTTTCAGAAATCAGTTTGCTCGTCAGTAGAGTCTCTTTTTACTTCGGAAATCAGTTTGCTAGTCAGTAGAGTCCTTTTTTCCTTTCAAATTTGCTGAAAAATCTTTCAGAAATCAGTTTGCTCGTCAGTAGAGTCTCTTTTGCCTCTTAAGTTTATAAAAATATTTTCAAAAATCATTTTGCTCGTCAGTAGAGTCCTTTTGTTCTTTCAAATTTATAAAAATATTTTCAGAAATCAGTTTGCTCGTCAGTAGAGTCCTTTTTACCTTTCAAATTTATAAAAATATTTCCAGAAATCGGTTTGCTTGTCAGTAGAGTCCCCTTTTCTATCAAATTTATAAGAATACCTTGGGAAATTAGTTTGATGGTCTATTTCTTTTTTTTAGAGTCCTTTTTACCTTTCAAATTTATAAAAATAATTTCAACTAGCTGTAAGTGGAATTCTGTCTTAAGGCAATTAGGGCATCGTGCCTTGAGGCAAATTGCTGGAACTTCCCGTACCGCAATTCAAAATTTTAGTAATTAAAAATAATCAATAATAATCAATAAAAGTTGATCAATGATTTGAAACTTTTAATAAAATTTCGAATCATATTGAACCATATTCGAAACCATATTCGAACCATCATGTGCAAAAACATACCGTGTTGAAATAAAAACGTAATTTCTGAAATATATTATAATTGATTAATAATATATTACATATATTATATATTAATTATCTTCTATATATATAAAAATAAGTCGGGTTTTCCTTCCTGACGAAATAACTCCAGAACGCACGAACCGATTTCGACAATTTTGCATTCGTGGGAAAGGTCTCGGGCTCCGCAAGGTTTATAGCTAAGAAAATTAGTTGTGCATGGCATCTAGCCCTAATGCAAATTGCTGGAACTTCATGCACAGTAATTAAAAATTCGAGTAATAAAAATGATCAATAACTGTTTTAAATAATTTCAAATAGATTATCTTCTATATATATAAAAATAAGTCGGGTTTTCCTTCCTGACGAAATAACTCCAGAACGCACAAACCGATTTCGACAATTTTGCATTCGTGGGAAAGGTCTCGGGCTCCGCAAGGTTTATAGCTAAGAAAATTAGTTGTGCATGGCATCGTGCCATAATGCAATCTGCTGGAACTGCACGCACCGTAATTAAAATTCGAGTAATAAAAATAATCAATAACTGTTTTAAATAATTTCAAATAGATTATCTTCTATATATATATAAAAATAAGTTGGGGTTTTCTTCCTGACGAAATAACTCCAGAAAGCACGAACCGATTTCGACAATTTTGCATTCGTTGGAAATGTCTCGGGCTCCGTAAGGTTTATAGCTGAGAAAATTAGTTGAAAATTTGCGAATTAATTATGGATTCACTTTCATTTACTTAGAGAAGTTCAACTAAAAAATACTTCATTTTTGTAATCGAAATAAATTCATTACTGTTGTATAATAAAATTAAATTTTTCCTTTTCAAATATAAAACAAACAAAAAATTTCTTCATCTTTCTCACGAAACCATCTGGTGGCGAAACGGAGTTCGTCGGGTTTGCTAGTTAATATATAATAATTAAATAATACAATAATCAAATAATTCAAAAAAATATTTCAACATTATACTGATTATATTTTAATTAAAATGTGACTATAAATACTTAATTATTTTTCATTTGTCAAATTTTACTTAAAATGATAATTTTTTTAGAGTCCTTTTGTTCTTTCAAATTTATAAAAATATTTCCAGAAATCACTTTCCTCGTCAGTAGAGTCCCCTTTTTCTATCAAATTTATAAAAATGCCTTCGGAAATTAGTTTGATCGTCTATTTCTTTTTTCCTCAGGTTGAACTCCGGTCCGAAGAGCGCCTCCGCGAGGAGCAGTCCCGCAACCGAGATCTCCTGACTCGTGCAGAACGCGAATCGCGCCTCCAATCCGAGAACTGCTCCATCAGAGTGAGGGCGGCGGAGACGGAGTGTGCAGCCTTAAGGCAGGAGGCTGCGAGAGAGAGGACGCACGCCGACAGAATGAGGCAGGAACTGGAACGTGTGGCGGAGCAGGAGAGAGACATCAGGAGGGAACTGGAGGAGACCAAAGAGGAGGCCAGGAGGAGAGAGGTGGAGATGGATAAGAGGTAAGGGCAAGAAATATTTACGTAACCACCATTGATTGTAGATCTTAAGGGAGCGTTTATTGATCACGTGTGGTTTTTTAGGGGAGAAAGGTTTGCCATAATATCATTTTTGACAAAAAGAATACCTTCGGAAATCAGTTTGCTCGTCAGTAGAGTCCCTTTTTCTGTCAAATTTTCAAGAATTTTTTCGGAAATCAGTTTGCTCGTCAGTAGCGTCCCTTTTTTCCTTACAAATTTATAAGTATACCTTCGGATTGAGTTTGCTCGTCAGTGAGTTTCTTTTTCTTTTAAATTTTCAAGAATACCTTCGGAAATAAGTTTGCTTGTCAGTAGAGTCTCTTTTTTCTTTCTAATTTTCAAAAATACCTTTGGAAATCAGTTTGCTCGTCAGTAGAGTCCTTTTTTCTTTCGAATTTTCAAGAATACTTTCGGAAATCAGTTTGCTTGTCAGTAGACTCCGTTTTTTCCTTTCAAATTTATTCAAAAATCTTCAGAAATCAGTTTGCTCGTCAGTAGAGTCCCTTTTTTCCTTTCATATTTATTCAAAAATCTACAGAAATCAGTTTGCTCGTCAGTAGAGTCCCTTTTTTCTTTCAAATTTTCAAGAATACATTCGGAAATCAGTTTGCTCGTCAGTAGAGTCCCTTTTTTCTTTCAAATTTATTCAAAAATCTTCAAAAATCAGTTTGCTCGTTAGTAGAGTCTTTTTTTTCTTTCAAATTTGTTCAAAAATCTTTGGAAATCAGTTTGCTCAGTCCCTTTTTTCATTTGAAATTTATTCAAAAATCTTTAGAAATCAGTTTGCTCGTCAGTAGAGTCCTTTTTTTACAAATTTATAAGAATACCTTTGACGCATAAATATAAATTTAATCATCAGCAGAATTCATATAACTATTTATTTAATTTGTAAAGTTGCTTTTTTTTCAATTAATATATTTTTATTTGCTTTTTTTTTATTTTTTACACATTTGCCAGGGTATAGGTTCAGGTGGTCCTTTTTACCCCACCCAGGTGTAATCTCTTACGTTTACGTTTTTAAGAAAAACTCTTGAATCCAACTCGAAATTAGCAATATATCTTATAAAACAATTATCTAACGTATACTTAAAAATTATATTAAGGTCTCGTAAACTAAACAACAGTGCTCACAAACAAAACAAAGAACAACGAAAGAAAATACTTTTATTATGGATTCTGAAACATTCCTGTTGTATTGTACAAAACAATTGCTTTTGAGGATAAAAAATTATTACATCTTTTTTATATTCCATAAAATATTCTTGTAATTTTGGATTAAACATCGAAAAAATTACCCAGGCTAAGCACAGTCTAAGCGCCACTCTGGTACAAATGTTACTGTAACACTTTTTCAATTTTGTGTAAATTAGGCAACTATTTTTTTTTTTTTTTGAAATCGAATTCGAAATGACATGACGATTGTTAATGTTCTGGAGATAAATTGATTTATTTATGATTTACATTTGATTTGCTCAGATATAACAAGATAGCAAGAATAATGAAACAATTACAGTATTTGTAATAATACATTTGAAAACGTTTAAAATTTCTCGAATATTTCATTACGGTACGGGAAGTTCCAGCAATTTGCCTTAAGGCACGATGCCATACACCACTAGTTAATGATTATTTTTTCCCAGGCACAAAGAAGAGTTGAAAGCATCAGAAGCACTCATGATGGATCTCAATGACGAAATAGTTCGGTTGAAAGAAAGAAGATCTTTACCAGCTACCCCGGACACACTGCCAGAGCAACTTCGATTAGAAGAACTCCATAAGGAAATAAACGATTTGCGAGAGGAAAACAAAAGTAAATATAATAAAAATATTAATACACCACTAATATTATTTATTTCTTGATCTTTTTCTTCTTTAGATTTGAGAGAAAGCAACGAAGAATTGCAGGCGGCTGTTTTGAATCGAAGTGTGGAAGAAGGGCGCAGCCTGTTGAACGGAAAGACGAGCAACAGTTTGGCGGCGGAGCTGGAGGCGATGTCTAAGGATGAAGTGAGTCAGGAACATGCTATGAAAGTAGGTTAAGGATGCACTTGGATGAGGATTGAAATTGTTCTTAAGATTTTTTTGATAAATGCACTTTTTGAGATGAACTATGGTGAAAATACGCTAGGTGTAAGGGGCACTTTAGCTTGAGACAAAATAATCGACATGCACAGTGTATATCTTAAAAGCGCACTCCATTATTAACTTCCCGTAGAGTAATTTATTGTAATCGTTTAAAAATCGTAATTGAACTTTTTTGCATTTCTTCACGTTTTGAAGGTTTCTGAACATTTCGGCATACCTCAGAAAAAAATGGATGGATGCGTGTGTGTCTCCATGTATGTATGGATACAATTTTTCAATCAGTTTGCTCGTCGGTAGAGTCCTTTTTTCTTTCAAATTCATAAAAATGACGTCGGATTTTTTATTCTTTTTCAAATTTGTAACAATGTTTTCAGATATCAGTTTGTTCGTCAGTAGAGTCTCTTTTGCCTTTTAAGTTTATAGAATATTTGCAGGAATCATTTCAAAATAATTTCAGAAAACAGTTTGCTCGTCAGTAGAGTCGCTTTTTACTTCGAAGATCAGTTTTCTCGTCAGTAGAGTCCTATTTTTTCTTTCAAATTTATAAAAATGATGTCGGAAATCGGTTTGCTCGTTAGTAGAGTCCCTTTTTTCTTACAAATTCATAAAGATAGTTTCAGAAATCAATTTGCTCGTCAGTAGAATCCCTTTTTTATTTCAAATTTATAAAAGACACCTTCAGAAATCGATTTGCTCGTCAGTAGAGTCCCTTTTTTTCTTTCAAATTCATTAAAATATTTTCAGGAATCAGTTTGCCCGTCAGTAGTCTCTTTTGCCTCTTAAGTTTATAAAAATATTTTCAAAAATCATTTTGCTCGTCAGTAGAGTCTTTTTGTTTTTTCAAATTTTTAAGAATACCTTGGAAAATCATTTTGCTCGTCAGTAGAGTCTCTTTTTTCTTTTCAAATTTATAAAAATATTTCAAAAATCGATTTGCTCGTCAGTAGAGCCCTTTTTTTCAAATTTTTAACAATATTTTCAGAAATCAGTTTGCTCGCCAGTAGAGTTCCTTTGTCCTTTCAAATTCATAACTAGCTGTAAGTGGAATTCTGTCTTAAGGCAATTAAGGCATCGTGCCTTAAGGCAAATTGCTGGAACTTCCCGTACCAAAAATTTTTTTTTTAAAAAAACGATTAACATTTTTGAAAAAAAATTACTTCAAAAAAATAAGATTTTTGAACAATTAGACAAAAAATTACTTTTTTTTGAAAAAAAAAATTTTTTTTAATTTTTTTTTTATTTTTTTTTTTGAAAAAAAAATGTTTTCTTTATTTTGACATATTTTGAAAGATCTAAACTTTTTTTCAAAGCAATCGTACTGCTTTAACTGCATAAAGACAAAATATCAAAGCGCGTAAGCGCCGCGTCGACGTCTAACGCGTGAACATTGGTACGGAACCCATAGGAATGTAAAACAAAATTATACTTATTGTTAAAACCTCTATAAAATATCTGATAACTTGATGTGCATATGTCTAATGATCATTTTTGACCACCAAATGGCATTTTTTTTTTTACTTTTTTCATTAGATCTCCGAAACCGCTAGACCTGCCTTTATGAAAATTTGATCGGTTCTTCACCTTGTCAATACAAGTAAAATGTTTTTTGAATTATTAAAATCGGACGCTCCGTTCTCTTAAAAGCTGAGTTACCGTTTTCGGCACTTTTTGCCCCGTATCTTCGGAACGGCTACACCTGACTTCGCCAAAAACTAATCAGCACGTCTCCTTATCAATACGAATCGAATGTTTTTTGAATTATTCAAATCGGTTGATCGGTGTTCCCGAAATCGTCGACGAAAATTTGTATCCGCACATACATACACACACGCACACACACACCCACACACACACACACACACACACACACACATACATCCATTTTTTCTAAGGTATGCCAAAATATTCAGAAACCTTTGAAACGTCGAGAAATGCAAAAATTTTCATTTTCGATTTTTTTGCGATTACTATAACTTGCCCTACGGGAAGTTAAAAATGACCTCGAAAATCAGTTTCCTCGTCAGCAGAGTTCCTTTTACCCTTCAAATTTATTAAAAAAGCTTTCAGAAATCAGTTTGCTCGTTAGTAGAGTCCCTTTTGTCCTTTTAAATTTATAAAATATTTTCAGAAATCATTTTGCTCGTCAGTAGAGTCTCTTTTACTGTCAAATTTATAAAAATTCTTTCAAAAATTGATTAGCTTGTCAGTAGAGTTTTTTTTTTATTAATTTATAAAAAATACCTTGCGAAATCATTTTTCTCGTCAGTAGAGTCTTTTTTAACGACGGATTTTTTTTTTTTGCTCGTCAGTAGAACTTTTTTTTAAATTGTAATTATTGTTTCTTCATCAAAATTAAATGCATTAAAAATTCAATATAAAATAAAATAAAATAAAATAAAATAAAATAAATATTTTAACTGTTTTTGACTAATATTTGTAATCAAACACCTTCAAGAGGTCTGTAATATTTTACGATCTTTTTTGAACCAAAATGCCCCTTGCACCAATGTTATATCTAAAATCCTTTACACACTCTCCTGACTTTACGAAAAAAAACACAAAACTACAAATTTAAAATTTTATTACATTAATATTATTCATATTTTTTCACCAGATCCAACAAACGCTGAAAGAACTGCAAGAGGACAATTACAGACTAAGAAGTTACATCGATTCGATATTGCTGATTGTCGTCGAAAATCATCCGCAGTTGCTGGAAGTTAAACCGAATTAAATAGGACTTAAATATTATTATTGCCTTAATGATAATAGACGATGCAATCGATAGAACTGCCAGGTTAGGGTAATATATAATAATCACTCGATTTATTATTTATATTTGCTCGAGGATTAAATTAAAAGCTGTAGATCAGATGAAAGCAATAAAATTTTATACCTTTCTCTAGGAATTAGACTTTATGACAAATAAGTGTTTCGATGTTGACATCGACGTTGTGATGATGTTCACTGAGTTTATATAGTTTTAGAGAAATTCTATATATATATATACATATATATTTTTTATTAAGTATTAAGAATAGTATTTTTTTTAAGTTTTAAACGCTCTAGTATTATTATTATGAAAATTGGCTTCAAAAGATTCATTTTGACAAAGACGTAACTTAAAGGTAACGAATGTAATCTTTACGACACTTTATATATCTGTTTTAATGTTAAAATACGTTATTATAACGTAACCGATGGAATCTTCTACTTCTTAACGTTACGTTATTACGATATAAAATTCAAATATGTTTTTGTCAAATAAATTGTTGACAATGTTTTATTTAACAATATATACTTAATTTATTTTTATAAAAGACGCAACAAATGCGTTGTTTTAAAACATTTTAATTTACGAAACAATATATGTTATTAAATAAATTTAAATTCGTTAATTTATTATCTATATTGTAGAAATTAAAACTGGTTTCAAAAGACGTAACTTATACGTTAATACATAAACGAGATTCATTCTATTAGAAGACGTAACTAATACGTTACAACAACGTAACCGATGTAACCTTCTACTTTGCATTTTAACTTTTTCATAAATGCAAAATTAATATTGTTAATGTTAAAACATTTACTATTGCTATTGAAATAAGATTTATTTTTGTAAAATATGCAACAAATACGTTCCTTTAACGTAACAGGTGAAATCTTTATCACTATTATTTTAATTGTGGAAAATGAGGTTGAATTTGTTAATTTTAATTTATTAGGACTGTAATTTGTATGTAACTCAAGCCATCGGAAATCAATTTGCTCGACAGTAGAGTCCCTTTTTTCTGTCAAATGTATGAAAATATATAATAATAAGTTGTCAAATATCTCCCTTCCGCTTTTTTGCTCTTGATTTATAATACAAAAAGGCGGAAGGGAGATATTTGACAACCTATTATACATATAAAATAAAAATTTGATTCGGGTTTTTTTTATCATTTATCAATTTATTATTCATCTTTTTATAAAAAAACATACGCCACTTCGCATGTAACATTTAAGGAACGATAATTCGTATATGCTACGTAAAGATTACAAGAATATATTTTCGAGTCCAACTTCTTTTTAAAATTTAAGCATGAATCTCAATTTTGTATGAAACCGGGATACGTTTATGTTACGTAACAAACCAAAATACTTCTAAAAACAAATTTTCATTTAATATAGTAATTAATATTTAATAATTTTCATATTACGTTGATGTTACGTAAAGAAGCAAACTGTCTCCTTTGAAACCAGGTTTTCTGAAATCAATTATATTTATATAAATATTATTATATTTATATATGCATATATATTTTTGCAATTTAAGTATTAAGTCTGTACTTAATTCTATTTTAAAAGTTTAGTATTATATTTAGTTAGTAATAATAGTTAATTGCTCAAAATGATATTTGATGTGAAAATTTGCAATCTTTGTGCCTTCGTGAATTTATTTGCCGAAAAACAACAATAGTTGATATAATATATTAGGGTGGTCCTTAATATGGATATTTTAGAATTTTTTTCTCCCAAAAGCTCAAATGCTTCCAAAGTAATAAAAGAAAATTCTCTAAAAGTTTAAGAAATATACGAAATTACGAAAAATACGAAAGTTTTAATTGAATTGCGGACTATCTAAATGTTAATATTAACAGCTAACACTTTTAGAGAATTTTATTTTATTAATTCGGAAACATTTAAGCCTTTGGGAGCAAAGAAATTCGTATTAAGGACCACACTAATTTAATATTATAATATATTATATAATCTTACAAATGCTCTATTGAGCTGTGATTTATAAAAACTAATAGTATTTAAAACTAGGTATTAGGTAGTTTATATGTACAATTCACACGTTAATATTATTATATAAATATATATATACCAGTATATTTATATAATATTAGGGTCTGATGCCGCCGCATAACAGAAAAATGTTATGGCAAGGCCCAAGTTTCATACATAATGCTACTGAATCGTACTGAATACTGTCAAAATGTCATGTATTTGCTGTGCATCAGGCGTTTTACACATAAACTGTGACGTCACTCGTATGTTGTGAAGCTGAGTCAGAAACACCCTGTTATCTAACATCATTTTTTTAAATTTGTGCGGTTTCTAGGCTCGGTTTTCTATCTGACAACCTGAGAAATACGCCTGACTGCACACCAACCACATGGCTTTTGTCAATACTAAGTATGGAACGTTCTTCATAACATAGCCTTGCCATAACATTTGTCTGCTGTGCAGCAGAATCGGTCCTTTAATAATCAATCACACATTACAAATATTTAGCAAAAAGCAATACTTAAATATAAAAAAATATTTAAAAAGTTACCTCACTTATAAGTTAGAATAAAAAAAATTGCTCAATGAAAACGCGAGAGGAAAAAAAATATAACGGCGCCATTGGAAGAGACAATAAATAAATGAAGTCCTGTGAAATTGAATAAAATTAAAATTTTAATATATTATTTAGTAATATTTCTCTATATATATAAATATGGTTTCGTTTTGGCTTTTTTTTTGCTTCGATTTGTGCAAATTTATAAATGCCACAGTCCACGACTTTGCCTTAAGTATATAATAGTAGAAATGCAGTTTCGTTTATTAATATGATAATAATAATAATAGTAAATGTATTTGAATTGTTTAATAAATGATTTTGGATATTATATTAGCCATGTGTACTATCATATATTTATTATTAATTTTTACGATATAAAATTTGAATATGATTTTGAATTTCGCGCGTACGCGTTTTATGACGCCATTGCTCAACTGTCAAACATGGCGGACATTGATTAACTGTCAACTAATATATTGTTGACAACGTTTTATTTAACTATATATACTAATTTAACTAAAATTTATTGTTATATATGGCGCAACAAATACGTTGTTTTAAAAACATTCTAGTTTACGAAACAATATATGTTATTAAATAAATTTACATTCGTTAACTTATTATTTATATTGTGAAAATTAAAATGGGGTTTAAGAGACGTAACGAATGTAATCTTCACGTTAGTTAACGAAATAATGTTGTTAAAACAATAATAATGTTGTTAACTAAACAATTAAAGTTAAAACAGTTTAATTGGATACAAGACGTAACGAATGCGTTATTATAACGTAACCGATGTAACCTTCTACTTCCTAACATTTACAAAACCAGATTATTGTTAATACAATATTAATTTTGTTAAAACTGATTGATATTATATTACTATTCTACTACTATCATACATTTATTACCAATTATTACGATATAAAATTCAAAAATGTTTTTGAATTTGGCGCGTACGTCTTCTGCGACGCCATTGCTCAACTGTCAAACATGGCGGACAGTGCCCAACTGTCAATAAATATATTGTATTAAGTGTTACATATGGAAATCATGAATTTATTGATAAAAAAAATAATTTTTACTTTTTTAGACTTTGTGCGCAACAAGATTTTGCATATTATATTTAAACTGATATTAAAAGGCTACTTGATACCAGGTAATTAGTGAATGTACGCTTTTGTATTTATTTACTTTTTAATTTATTTATTTTTTTAATTTTTTTTTAATTAAAAGAACTCTACTAACATCCTTATTTAATCAACAGTAGAGTTTTTTTATCGTCTGATATATTAATTTTTTTTTTAAATGTGCTTGTTAGTACAATTTTTTAGTTTCTTTTAAATAATAATAATCTTAATATAATGCTTATTAGTAGAGTTCTTTTGATTTGAAAAAAAAAATTAATTGACAGTAGAGTTTCTTTTTTGACCAATGTGATAATAATTGGAAATAAGACCAAATAATAAATTTGCTTGTCAGTAGAGTTCTGTAATTTTCAATCAAATATTTTTATAGAAAACAAAATTTGGAAATTTTGAAAAAAATCTAAATTTTTTTTTTGATTTTTACTTTTAGTACATAATAAATAGCCGGAAAATAAATCTACTAACGAACAAACTCAAAATATAAGAATAGGGAACTCTACTGACGACCAAACTAAAATTTATTATATTAGTATTATTGAATTAGTAATGTGCGATTTGCCAATAGGCATAAGTAATACTTATTTGCATGTAATATATTATTATATCAAGATATAGATAAAAACAAGTCTAATATATTTTTATTATATTGTTCTAAATAATATTCCTCTAAGTATATAATATGCTCAAGTACAAATTCAAATTTCGCGCGCTTTTGTTTTGTATTGCCAGCGTATTCAAAAAAAAGTATAGATATGAATAGATAATTTATAATATGAATACATATAATTAATGTATAATTTATATTTATAATATATATGTATATATATATATATATATATATATATATAAAATAAATTTATTATAAATATAATATTAATTAATTATATATCCATTATAGGAAAAGAGTGCCACGTATGCAGTTCTGATTGGTTGGGCGCGTTCGCTCGTGTGAGAAGTGTAAACGAAAAGGTTTACATCGTTATGATCAACTGTCAAACATGGCGGACAGTGATGAGCTGTCAACAGGGTTTGAGGTTCAGGTATGCGATTAAAATATTGGTTTGTTTCTTTGATTTCTTTGAAGGACCGTTATGATTGGTAGAGAATACTTCTATTGGAATATTAATTTCGATTTTATTTTCAATATAATTATAAATTTTATTGCGTATAATATATTCAAAATCATTTTATATATATATATATATATATATATATATATATAATTTTTTTTGTTCATATTATGGGGTGCTTTGTTTTGGCGTAAACAACGTTATTATGATAGAATAATATTAATTTGTTGCAATATAAATTATTATTAAAATAGTCTGATGTGCTATTTATAGAACACACAGAACAAATTTTAATAATATTATACAAAAACCTATTATTTTCCAAGACAGTTTTATATTTTACTACATTTTATTTCATTTCTTTCTTACACAAAATATTTTTTTATGTTCATGAGCACTTATTTATAATATATTCTCTAAAACATTTGTACGGAACCCTGTGAGTTTGTTGAAGGTTTTGCTATAATATTTGGGTGCTGCTCGTTGAGACCTTTCATTTGATACCCCACACGACATATGTGACGTCACAAAGTGTTGACCCCAATTAGACCCGCTGTACTATTTATAGTACACCCAATCGTTTATTCCTTGTAACTTTTAAACCGTACGTCCAATTTTAATGAAATATTAGAGACATTTGTACAAAATTGAATCGTGTACAATATTGTTTAACATTATAAGGACCTGCAACAACTCTATGTACTTTAAAATCGCAATTTAAACAAGAAAAGTAACCTCACAATGTGTTGTACGGAACCCTAATGTTTTTTCAAGTCTGTCATTTTTATATTTAAATTGGGGTTGATGAGACCTTTTAAATGATACCCCACACGATATATGTGACGTCACAAATTCTTGACCCCAATTAGACCCGCTGTACTATTTATAGTTCAGCGACTCATTGGTCGTGCATTTATTCAATAAATCTGTTGTAACATCTAAACAAACTAAGGAATTTGAATGCAATATTCAACAAGGTTGTGTAAAATTAAATTACAAACAATTTTATCTAATATTATACAACCCCCCTACAACAACTCAGTATACTTTAAAATCGCAACTGAATAAGGAAAATTTATTCAGGTGCATTTATTTGGTATAAATTATGTCTTCGGCAAATTTGTTTAAAATTAAATTATCTATAATATTGTTTAACATCATAAAGCCTTACATCAAGTCGGTATACTTTAAAATTGCATTAAAAAGCTACAAACGCGCCAAGGTTAAGTGAAATAATAAACAGTAAATAGAATTGTATACAGGGCGTGCATTTATTTATAATATCCTCTCTAACTCAAAAACCATTTGAGAAATTTAAATGATGTCTTCGGCAAATTTGTTTTAAATTAAATAATCTATAATATTGTCTAACATTATAATGGTCTATATCAACTCGGTATACTTTAAAATCGACATTGAAAATTAAAATATGTCTTCGAAGCGCTGATTTAAAATATATGGCGTAATTGTCAAACCATTCAATTAATATGGATGGTGTTTTTGGAAAACGTATTTAAAATTTAATATGTAATATATAGTATTTTTCTTTCTTTTTAATTATAAATCGTGAATACCAAAAGTATATTTAAAAATTTGCCTAATGTAGTTTACTCGAATTATTTATATAGAGTAAAATAACTCAGCAAAAGCATCATAATTATTATTTATTATTTCGTATCGATTTTAAGTATACCAAATTGCTGTATACCTAATAATAATTTAAGACAGCAAACTTACCGTTTGAACGTTACACAATATAATTAAAACAAATCCACAGTCACTATAAACATATAAAGTTAACTCATATAAAGTTTTTAAACGACACCAATATATAATATAACTATTTATTTTAGTTGTATGCACATAATCACTTGATTAGTAAAATATTTATGTAAATTTACATTGTTATTTGCGAAATAACGTAAAAAGTTCTTGCACTCTATTAGCAAATTTATATTAAACCGCCATTTTTCTAACAATAAGTTTTTATCTTCAGCTTCGATCTTATCATCCATCTCGCTCTAACTCCATATGTGTGAGCGAGCGCGATGTATACGTTATCTATAGCTGGCAATACCAAACTTCAGGATGAACACAAAAGCATAGAATGGTAATACCAGTAACAAATGTCAGTTTAAAATATATGTAATTAAATTCATGAGCCTATTCATGAGTCTCAGTTAAGTTATTAAAAAGTTCGTGTGAGTGAATTAGATGATAATAAAAAAAGGTCTCGACGACCCCAATTCAAATATAAAAACGACAGACTTGAAAAAACATTAGGGTTCCGTACAACACATTGTGGAGTTAATTTTCTAGTTTCAATTGCGATTTTAAAGTATACAGGGTTGCTGTAGGTCTTTTTAATATTAAACAATATTGTACACGATTTAATTTTATACAAATTTCTCTAATATTACATTGAAATCGGACGTACGGTTCAAAAGTTATAAGGAATAAACGATGTACTATAAATAGTGCAGCGGGTCAAATAAGGGTTGAGACTTCGTGACGTCACATATATCGTGTGGGGTATCATTTGAAAGGTCTCGACGACCCAAATTTAAATATAGAAATGACAGACTTGAAAAAACATTAGGGTTTCGTACAACACATTGTGGAGTTAATTTTCTTGTTTCAAATGCGATTTTAAAGTATACTTAGTTGCTGTAGGTCTCTATAATGTTAGACAATATTGTACAAGATTTAATTTTGAACAAATTTCTCTAATATTGCATTAAAATCGGACGTACGGTTTAAAAGTTACAAGGAACAAACGATTGGGTGTACTATAAATAGTACAGCGGGTCAAATAAGGGTTGAGATTTTGTGACGTCACATATGTCGTGTGGGGTATCAAATGAAAGGTCTCAACGAGCTTTATCCTAATATTATAGTAAAACCTTCAACAAACTCACAGGGTACGGTAAAAAAGTTATTTTTAATACAAAATTCGTTAGACTGTTGTAAAACACAATTGATTTTGTACAAGTTTTCCGCAGACATCATTTATATTAATTATAAATAAGTTTTTATGAACATTAAAAAACATTAAATATTTTATACACTGTATTGTCATAACTCATAATAATTATGATAAATTTCAAAAAAATTATATAATTTCTGAAGGCACTTTTATTATTTTGTTATATTAAAATTATTTTAAGAATCGTATTTCAGTATTTCACTATTTTTGTTATATTTTATTGTTTTCCTAGTATTATTTTATTATTCAGAAATTTTATTTATATTATTTATAAATTTTATTTTTATTATTATTTGCTTTTATTTTATAATAAATCCTCATACTACAAATATTATTTAGATGTAAATTCTATCCTTTGCACTCTTATTTATTTAAATTTATGTTATTATTTATCTTTATTGCTAGATGTTAATTATTTAACAGTTGTAACAAATATTGTAATTAAAAAAAAATTATACCATGGATTTGGTGTAAGATGTATTTAGTTTAATCAACATTTGTGTATATACGCGAAACTATAAATTAAATAATTAAAACGCCAATATGTTCATAAACTGTTTTGATGTTTTGAAATTCCCGCGCTTTTTATTCTATATGAAAGTTGAATACAAAGGACAAATATTAAAACAAAAATAGTTGTTTCCAGCCATACTATCTAGGGGTAAAGCATTATTTATTCAATTTGTTATTAATTATTTATTATCTATCTCCATTTAACAATTATTAATTAATTATTCCTTTCTATTTATCGATTTAATTCATTTTCAAACGGTGTAAACTTCGTAACGGTCGGATTTACATTTGGAGAGGGGATACCAATCGTAGAAGAAGAAGAAGAAGCGTCGAACGGCGTCGCGTTCGTTCGTTGTTCATCGTGTTGCTCGAACGAGAACCATTTCCCGGCACTTTCATCTTACTCATCGAGGACGGCAAAAAAACCTTTATAAAGTCGTATTTAATTCAATCGGGGTGCTACGAATCAATTTGGAAACTATCCAGAAAAATCCGGCGTGATAATAAACTATCACAGTGGTCCAGGCTTTGTGTTTGAGGGGCAGTTGAAGTTACTTTTGTTATAAACAAATTAGAAAAGGAAGAAAAATGGCTGATGAACAAAAGGTGAGCGATTGCTTGGTTAATAGTAACATAGTAGCATTAAATATGATATATTTGTAATATCCACGTGCAAGTGTACTTTTTGTATTGTAAAAATGTGCTAAATGTGTGTTTTAAGTACTACAAAGCATTTTGTGGCGTTTTTGCCAACCGGCGCGTGCGTTTGGAAATAGAAGCCGACGGCTTGACTTTACACATTTTAAGCATTTTATACTATTGTAACATATACTCTCCTACAAATGTTAAATTTTAATATCCATTTCACTATAAATCAGTTTTGTACATGTTTTTTACATACAAAATGTGTACTTTACACTTTTGGCGCGTTTGCAAATAGGAGCTGACACAAGCGGCTTGGTTTTACAAACTTTCATTGTATTTTGTTGTAGTTTAAGTTTATATAGCAATATTTGTTGTAGCATTTATGTAAATAGTGTATTTGTACACAAAAACGGTATAAGTTGTGTAGATATTTGTGTTTTTGTTGAAGGGGATATTTGTGAGGTTAGTGTAACTCATAAAGACAGATAAAAGGGCAATATTTCTTTTGGTGTAAAACGTCGAGTCTTATTTGTACACGATATTATAATGTTTATAAGTTTATTTAGAGTAATTTTAGTGCTGGATTAAATTCTATGTCTGAAGAGACTCCACAGTGCTTTGTGTCCCCTTCGACTTGTCTTTTAGCCAAAAGCTTAACTTAACCTGTTGTGTCTTCTACATAATACTTTCAATTCCATGTACTTATAATTTTGCATATTTAGTACAGTTTTGATGATTTAGGAGACATTTTACAATGCTTTTTGTCTTCTTTAACTTAACAGGAAGACCTCACTTAGTCTCTCGTGTCTACATAATACTTCTAATTCCATGTACTTCTAATTTTGCATATTTTAATACTGTTTTGATACAGATATATAAAATGCTCGGGCTGAAGAGATTCCACAGTGTTTTGTGTCCCCTTCGTATTGTCTTTTAGCTAAAGACTTCGCTTAACCTCTCGTGCCTTCTACAATGATACTTTATTCATTGTACTTCTAATTCTGCATGTTTTAGTTCCATCACTGATGGATGAAATGCTCGGGCTGAAGAGATTTCACAGTGCTTTATGCGTTCTTCGACTTGTAGTTGCGTATAGAAGATATAGATATAGAAGCAAATGCTCAACAGGATGACCTCACTTTACATAATACTTTGTTCGTTATCCTTCTAATTTTGCATATTTTAATACAGTTCCATCACTGATGGATGAAATGCTCGGGCTGGAGAGGTTCCACAGAGCTTTTTGTCTTTTTCGACTTAATAAGAAGACTTTACATAATCTCTATTATATTTGTTATACTTCTAATTTTGGATTTTTCAATCTATATGGAAATGGAGATAATACTCTGCTCAAAAGGGCTCTACAGTGATACTTTTAATTTTGCATATTTTAATCGATAGTCGTTTTCAGACAGAGGTAGCCTGTTCGTATGTATGTATATATATTAGGGTGGTCCTTAATATGGACATTTTTGAATTTCTTTGCTTCCAGAGGTTAAAATGTTTAGGTAAATTAAGTTGATGATATTGATAACAATAAAATAATAAAATTTTGAGCTCGTAAACTAATAAATTTAGTGAAAAACTATAAGAAACCACTGGGAGCAAGGAAATTCCTAAACTTCCATATTAGGGATCATATCGATTCTGTTTGTTTCGATATTCATAGAGATTTTCACATATGTATGTGACATTATTTTTGGCCAGTACGTGAAATAAAAAATATAATTATTTTTGTTCGTCATCTTCAGCAAAATTCTATAAATATTTATATAAAATATTAAAGAGAATACAATAAATGTATCATGACAACAATTTTTGTTTTCAAAAAATATATATAAATACCTATTAGAACTTTCCAAATTCTGTTTCTGATTATAAAATAATATAAATTTTATATTAGATTTTAATCAAATCTACTTAAGCATTTTTTTATTGTTTCTATAATTAATTAATTATATTCTATTATTATTAAAATTGAAAAATTAGCTTAGAATTGAATATTATTACAAATATTTATTAAAATTTGATAGCTATCGAATAATAATGCTGAAGAACTTTGTTCATGAACATAGTGTCGAAACTAGTTCAATAAAGAAACTACATTATATTTTTTATTCGATTGGCCAAAAAATGTATTATATATACATACATACATAAAAAAAAATGTCTTTGTTCAACGTTTTGGATCCTGATTTGAACCATCTTCAGTGCATACAAATAATTTAAAGAAAAATACAAATATGATACACCAATTAATATAACAAGTTACATGTCAATAATTTTTTAATAAATATTAAATTAATAAAAATATAAGATAAATGAAAATATTTAAAAAGCTCTTCTCATTGAGACATGTTATTTGTTTGGAATTTGTTTAACAAGTAACAAGTTTTTCTTCAAATTATTCCTATATCGCTAAAAAGTGTAAGTTAGTTACAAATTTTATGTCTATGATGGGAACTTAATGTTTTATGATCCAAACTAAATTTCATGTGTGTATAAGCAAGTTTGTTTGAAATATCAAAATGAAGAGCATCATTGTTTTTAATTAATGTTTATATATAATAGATAGCGTTTATTTATTTAGAACAAATAACAGAATCATTTTTACAAGATCTTTAATTTATAACAATACGACAATAGCTACAGATGAAAATAAACTAGAGTAAAAGAAAGGTTATATCTATACAAAACAACTTTAGAGAAAATACAATACCTTATTTAGTTTTTTAATATATTTTTTATTGAAAAAAAATCCTATTTATTAAATATGTTTGATATTAAATATATCAATTTTTATTTTTTATTTAATTTATTAGTTATTATTCATACTAAAAACTTAACTTACAAAAAGGGCTTTTTATAGTGATTTTCGTTTAGCACGTTTTTTTCATCTAAAAGTGTATTTTTTGGGTTACATGTTTTTTCAGGAACATATCTTATGTATACATTATTCATTGTACCTCTAATTTTGCATATTTTAATCGATTTAGTTACTTTCCAGACAGAAGTAAATTTTCAGCACAAAAAAGAGATCTTTTTCTCTAGAGTTCTATATTTCTAATTTTGCGTAATTTTTCACAATTCCAGTTTACTCAATATTTGTAAATCAAATTCAGTAATGTTCATAAATGTTTATTGTATTATATTTTATTTTATTCTTTGTTTTATTTTATACATTTATGTTTCTATTTTTCATTAACAAATTTATACTATTTTCAGAGCGATGAACACATCAACTTGAAAGTCCTGGGACAAGACAATGGGATTGTTCAATTCAAGATTAAAAAACACACGGCTTTGAGGAAGTTAATGAACGCATACTGTACTAAAGCGGTAAGCATTTAATAAACAATAATTGCAATTCGATAATGAAAACATCCTACAGAATGGATTGAATTTCAAATGGTAATAATAGATATAATTGTCCTGAAGTCATACATTTAAAACAAATTTATTACTTAAAGGTAATAAAAATTATTTTTTAATTGATAAAGCAATTGAGCTGATTGAACAATTGTAAATAATTTTAGGAAACTTCAGTTATTTTTAATTTGAAATTTAATTCATTTTTTAACTTAATGAATGACAACACATACAAGGTCCAAAAGTACATAATAAATTTTTGAAAAATTTATAAAAACTCAATTAATTCTAACATATCACATATGTCATCTTCAATGGAATGTATTTTTTTTTTTAACTCAAGATAATAGTGTTATTGGGAATTGTTATTATTAAGAAGTAATTAGAGACATTCCAATTTACATTCACTGAAGATACGTAACCTAAACATTTGGATTTAATAAATATTATATCATATTTCAACATTGAGATTGGTATAGAATATTTTCATATGTGCACACAGACACACACGCACACATATATTTATATATATATATATATATATATATATATATATTGTATTTATTAATTTTTTTTAAATAGTATTTTATTTTTATAATTTATTCATATTTTAGTTTATTATTTATTCATAATTTATTTTAATTATTTTTGATTTCATATTATAGTTTATTCTTATTATTTATTCATAATTTATCATTTCATTAATTCATATATTAATTTATTAATTTTAATAATTTTTATTTTATATTTTACTTTATCATTACTTATTAAATATTGATTATTAATTCACACATTATTTTATTAATTTATTTATTTTATTTTTTTTCATATTTCATATCTGTTTTTATTAATTATTCATAATTCATTTATTTTATTTATTAATTCATTTATTTCAATAATTTATTAATTTTTCATAATTTGAATCATTATATTTTATTATTTTAATAATATTTATTACATATTTTAGTTTATTATTATGATTAATTCATTATTCATTTTTTAAATTTATTTCAATAATATTTATTTATTACTTTTTTCATTTTTATTTATTACTTTCATTTACAGTTTATGGTTTTATTAATTCATTATTTTTATTTATTGTAATTTGATATTATTTTTTCATATTTTTTCAATTCTTTATAAATCGTATTATTTTATTTATTCATTTTAATAATTAACTTATTTTAGTTTTTATTTTACATTTTATTTTAATTAATTTTCATTCATAATTCATTTTTTATTTTATTCATTTGTTTTGGATAATTTTTATTCATTCGTAATTCCATAATCATAACGTGTCATAACTCCACATTTTCACACACCTTTTTCCATTTTTTTTTTTAAACTTTCAAAAAAAAATTCAAGTTTCATTTTTTTTTCGAATTTTCTTTTTCCAATAAAAATTTCTTACCTATCTTTTTCCAAATTTTTTTTTGTCAATGATTTTTTATATAATTACATTTTCACTCAATTCAATCTTGTTAAAAAAATGTTTTTTTTTCACTCCAAATATTTTTTTCTCAACAAAAATTCTAAATTTTTTTTCCGATTTTTTCCAAACATTCACATTTTTCACTCTTCGATTTTTTGCCAAAATTTGTCCTTTTTTTAAAATATTTTTCAATTTTGTTCAACCAAAAATTTTTTTCGAATATTTTTTTTAAAAAATTTTTTTGTCGTAGATTTTTTATACATCATTTGTACTCAATTCAATCTTGTTAAAAATGTATGTAAATTCCATAATGTTTCGTTCATTTCAAACATGTCACACATTGAAACTATTCCTACATCAATCTTTAATTATTCTTATTTTACAATTTTCTTTCCTCTTCTAGGGTCTCTCGATGCAGGTTGTCCGGTTTCGATTTGATGGTCAGCCCATCAACGAGAGCGACACACCCGCAACCTTAGAAATGGACGAAGGTGACACCATCGAAGTCTACCAGCAACAAACCGGAGGATGCTCGCAATTATAAAAGGAGCCCCCAGATCTCCTGTTGTAACAGCGCAGCGCCCTCACCTAAATTATTTTTAAGGTTTAATATCTAAGCATTCTTATTAATTTTAAATAAAGTATGAATTTTCAATTCTGTTTTGTTTCTGATAAATCAAAAATAAATGAGCCCCAGTAGTAGTAAAAGTGAAAAAATGAAATCAACATTGAATCGATATTTTTCTTTTATACGATTCCTCTGTGGATAGATGGACGGTGTGATGGATTTTGGATTGTTAGCTTAGCACTTTCTTTTTTTTATATATAAATTATTAATGGATATAATGACAAACTAAATATAATTTCAATGTACAAATTTTGTTTTAATGAGGCAAGGGAAACCATGCACTTTTATTTCAATCAATATTAGTTTGAAGCAATGAAATTATGATTACGTGTTGTAAGAAATAAGTACAAGGTCATAAGTTAAAATTTTTTAAAAAATTGCTTTTTTGAGGAAACTTTCAGGTTTTATTGTTAAATATTACATTCTTAATTTTTAGCATCCCGTAGGGTAAGTTATAGTAATCGCAAAAAAATTTCTGAATATTTTGGCATACCTTAGAAAAAATGGATGTATGTGTGCGTGCGTGCGTGTGTGTTTGGATAGAAATTTTTGTCGACGATTTTGCGAACACTGATCAACCGATTTGACCAATTCAAAAAAACATTCTATTCGTATTGATAAGGAGACGTGCTGATTAGTTTTTGGCGAAGGCAGGTCTAGCCGTTACGAATATACGGGGCAAAAAGTGCCAATAACGGTAACTCAGTTTTTAAGAGAACGGGAGCGTCCGATTTGAATAATTCAAAAAACATTTTACTTGTATCAACATGATGAAGAAATGATCAAATTTTCATGAAGGCAGGTCTAGCGGTTTCGGAGATCTAATGAAAAATGTAAAAAAATGCCATTTGGCGGTCAAAAATGATCATTAGACATATGCACATCAAATTATCAGATATTTTATAGATTTTAACAAAAAGTATAAATTTTGTTTACATTCCTATCGGTTCCGTACCAATGTTTATGAGTTAGACGGCGACGCAGCGCTTACGCGCTTTGACATTTTGTCTAAAATGCTGTTAAAGCAGTACGTTAGCATTGAAAAAATGTTCAGGATTTCCAAAATATGTCAAAATAAAGAATTTTTTTTTTTTCAAAAAAAAAACTAATTTGTGTCAAATTTATAGTTTCTCAAAAATCTAATTTTTTCGAAGTAAATTTTTTCAAAAATGTTAATCTTTTAAAAAAAAAATTGGTGCAGGAAGTTCCAGCCTTAAGGCACGATGCCTTAATATGCAAGGGTCATTTGGCGGGAAAGATGCACGAAACTAGTGGTGTATGGCATTGTGCCTTCAGGCAAGTCGCTGGAACTTCGTACCCAAAATTATTTTTGTTAAAACGGATTACTTTTTTTAAGCTTTGAAAAAATTAGATTTTTGAGAAAAAATGATCTTGAAAAAAGTCAATTTATTTATATTTTGGTAATTTTGAACATTTTTTGTTACATATGGTCCATGATTTTTTAACAAGAAAATCTTTTCCCCGAAATTTCCCCCCCACCCAAATTTTTGTCAATTTTTTCGCCAATTTCTTTCCCCAAAAATTTTTATCAAACCATGGTCTTGGTCCCATGACTTTTTAACAAGAAATGTTTTTTCCCAAATTTCTTTTCGTGCTTTTTAAGTCAAATTGCTGGAACTTCCCGTACTCAAAATCAATTTTTTTAAAACAGATTAAACTTTTTTTAAGCTTTAAAAAAAATTAGATTTTTCAGAAAATTTAAATTTTTGAAAAAAAATTTTGAGAAGTAAATTTTATTTATATTTTGGAAATTTTGAACATTTTTTGTTACATATGGCCGATGACATTTTAACAAGAAAATATTTTTCCCCAATTTTTTTTCCAAAAATGTTTTTTGCAACAATTTTTTTGCTCCAAAAAAATTCTTTTTCAAACATCTTTTTCCAATAGTTTTTTTTACCAATTTTTTTTTTCCAAAACTGTATTTGACAATTTTTTTTCAATTAATTTTCTTTTTTTTTCTTTTAGATTGTTTAAGCGTCAGAATTTTCGTTCCGCTCGTATACATGCTTTTAACGCTTGCTCCCTATTTCTTCAGTAACTCCGAATATAATTTGAATTTGTTTCTGAAATTTTAGGGATACATTCTTGGCTAGTTTTGGAAGACATTAAAAGGCTCTCCCCTGAAGCTTCTTTGCAATGGAGCCCCTATGCATTGTGTGATAGCACCACAAATTGATAATTTGCCTCTATTTTTTCTTTATGCATTTTCCTTTCCAAACTTCTGGTCCAGTACTTTGACTTTCAGTTTTCTGTATTGCCTATGTCATCAACCAACTGCATTCTTCTTCTTCCCAAATCCTCTCTTTTTTATTTTTCCAACTTTCTAACTGTACTAATGTGTTAATTTTATACATAAATTAAATGAATTTAATAATACAATAGCAAAGTGAATTTGGCAACAATTTTTGAAGGTTTAATTGGTACATCTCCCGGCTAATAATAATGATCCAGTCCAGACCATATTTTTCCACGCGGTAAGTCTTTGTTTAGTTTTAAAGATTGAGCGAAAACTGTGGAATGTGATTTTTTCACAGGAATGAAATGAGTCTAAAATGTAAATATTTTTAACATGTTTGATTCGAGTGAAAGACCATGTTTTCAAAAAAAAAAAGTTGGCAGGGGGCTGTCATTTTTTTGTGTTGCATGTTGCGTGGTGTGTTGATTCTGTGTGGAGCGAATGAGAAGTGATCGTGTTCGTCGACTTCGGGAGACCGGGTACGAAGTTTTGACAAGTGATTGCAGCGTGAATTTTCTGGTTGTATTTTAGAGCTTTCTTAACCTTCGATTTTCTAAGTTTTTTTTGGTTGTATTTTAGAGCTCTTAACCTTCGATTCTATAAGTTTTTTTGGTTGTATTTTTTTGTCCAAAAATTTGTTGTCCAAATTTTTTTTGACCAAAAATTTTTTCGTTTAAAATTTTTTTGACCAAAAATTTTTTTTGTCCAAAATTTTTTTGACCAAATTTTCTTTGACCAAAAATTTTTTTGTCCAAATTTTTTTGACCAAAAATTTTTTTGTCCAAATTTTTTTGTTCAAAAATTTTTTTGTCCAAAATTTTTTTGTCCAAATTTTTTTGTCCAAAAATTTTTGTCCAAAGTTTTTTTCTCAAAATTTTTTTTACCAAAATTTTTTTGACCTAAATTTTTTTTTCGACCAAAATTTTTTGACCAAAATTTTTTTACCAAAAATTTTTTTCCCAAAATTTTTTTTGATCAAAATTTTTTTGACCAAAAATTTTTTCCCCAAAATTTTTTTGACCAAAAATTTTTTCCCCAAAATTTTTTTGACCAAAATTTTTTTGACCAAAATTTTTTTGACCAAAATTTTTTTGACCAAAATTTTTTTGACCAAAAATTTTTTTGACCAAAAATTTTTTTGACCAAAAATTTTTTGACCAAAAATTTTTTTGACCAAAATTTTTTTGACCAAAATGTTTTTGGACCAAAAATTTTTTTCCGAATATTGGTCAATATCGGTCTAATATTGGTCAATATCGGTCCAATATTGGTCAATATCGGTCCAATATTGGTCAATATCGGTCTAATATTGGTCAATATAGGTCCATTATAGGTCAATATCGGTCCAATATTGGTCAATATCGGTCTAATATAAAAAAAAACTGACCAAAATTTTTTTGACCAAAATTTTTTAGACCAAAAACTTTTTTGACCAAAATTTTTTTTCCGAAAATTTTTTTGACCAAAATTTTTTTCCGAAATTTTTTTTGACCAATTTTTTTTTTACCAAAATTTTTTTTCGGTCTATATCGGTTCATTATTGGTCAATATCGGTCCAATATTGGTCAATATCGGTCTAATATTGGTCAATATCGGTCCAATTTTTTTTTTTGACCAAATTTTTTTGGGTCAAAATTTTTTTTCCGAAATTTTTTTGACCAAAATTTTTTAGACAAAAATTTTTTTGACCAAAATTTTTTTTGATAAAAAATTTTTTTGACCAAAAATTTTTTCCCAAAATTTTTTTTCCCAAAATTTTTTTGACCAAATTTTTTTTCCGGAAATTTTTTTGACCAAATTTTTTTTCCGAAAATTTTTTTGACCAAAATTTTTTTGAGCAAAAATTTTTTTGACCAAAATTTTTTAGACCAAAAACTTTTTTGACCAAAATTTTTCTCCGAAAATTTTTTTGACCAAAATTTTTTTCCGAAATTTTTTTTGACCAAATTTTTTTGGGTCAAAATTTTTTTTCCGAAATTTTTTTGACCAAAATTTTTTAGACCAAAAACTTTTTTGACCAAAATTTTTTTTCCGAAAATTTTTTTGACCAAAATTTTTTAGACCAAAAACTTTTTTGACCAAAATTTTTTTGACCAAAATTTTTTAGACAAAAATTTTTTTGACCAAAATTTTTTTTGATAAAAAATTTTTTTGACCAAAATTTTTTCCCAAAATTTTTTTGACCAAAATTTTTTTTCCGGAAATTTTTTTGACCTAATTTTTTTTCCGAAAATTTTTTTGACCAAAATTTTTTTGAGCAAAAATTTTTTTGACCAAAATTTTTTAGACCAAAAACTTTTTTGACCAAAATTTTTCTCCGAAAATTTTTTTGACCAAAATTTTTTTCCGAAATTTTTTTTGACCAAATTTTTTTGGGTCAAAATTTTTTTTCCGAAATTTTTTTGACCAAAATTTTTTAGACCAAAAACTTTTTTGACCAAAATTTTTTTTCCGAAAATTTTTTTGACCAAAATTTTTTAGACCAAAAACTTTTTTGACCAAAATTTTTTTGGGTCAAAATTTTTTGACCAAAATTTTTTTGGGTCAAAATTTTTTTGACCAAAATTTTTTTGGGTCAAAATTTTTTTGACCAAAATTTTTTTGGGTCAAAATTTTTTAGACCAAAATTTGACCAAAATTTTTTTGACCAAAAATTTTTTTGACCGAAATTTTTTTGACCAAAATTTTTTTTCCGAAAATTTTTTTGACCAAAATTTTTTTTCCGAATTTTTTTTGACCAAATTTTTTTGACCAAAATTTTTTTTCGGTCAATATCGGTCCAATATTGGTCAATATCGATCCAATATTGGTCAATATCGGTCTAATATAAAAAAATTTTTTGACCAAAATTTTTTTTCCGAAAATTTTTTTGACCAAATTTTTTTGACCAAAATTTTTT